ACATATATATATATATATATACATATATATATATACATATACATATATACATATACATATACATATACATATATATATATATATATACATATATATGTATATATACACACACACAGATACATACATACATACATACATACATACATACATACATATATATATATGTGCAAGAATGAAATAAAATACAACCTGAACTAACAAACTCACCACGGTGGGACTGTTTGATGGCAGCAGGCCGTTTGCCTTACAGAACAAGATGGCGCGATGTGTTCGCTTTGCAAGATGAGAGGCAACTGTGTGCTGTGCAGAAGCTGCAATGTCATTCACACATGACAACAGTGTCCCCTGTTCTATACCTGAAGATGGAGGGAAACAAAAGTTACTAATCTAATATACATTTAGATATGAAGCTCCTCAACTGTTCTGTTCACCTGTGACAATACTGAGGAGTTAGTAGCAACAGCAGCCAAGCACATGTTATTGAATAAACATTATTAAGAGTGTCTTTCTTTATGTCTTTCTGGTGTACAAATGAAAAATGTAGATGTTCCCAAACTGCATGTTTTACATATAAACCTGTCAAACATCTATTCATCTTGTATTTTGTTCATCTACATAACATTTCTCTCTTACATTTTTCTGAAAGAATACAATTCAAAGATGTGTTTCACAGCAGACATTTTGACTTCCGGAAAAGGACCGGTGGAACTCATAACATGAGTGATCCCGGGAATTCTTGCAATGCAGGAATTCATGTTTTTAAGTTCCACCTGTGCTGGACAAATCAAAATGTATATTGTAGAAAAACGTCCATGAATTTGATCACTGGTACATGGCTCACGGACGTTTGTCGATTCCGAGACCTTGTGTGTCCTCATACCTTCCTCTGCCTCTTTCTTCATTATCGTCATGTTAACTTGATTCCGTAGTCCAGCAAAAGAAAAGCAGCAGTCATATGTTTGTCCCATAGGTGTCCTGAAAGGGAACCTCGTCCTGTCGGCATCCTCTGCTAGAAGCTCTATAGCTTGTCCTCCACTTAGTGTGGAGCACTGTGGGTGTTTTATGAGGGATAAACGTCTTGCCACCTGTGAATCCACAGAAGACAATATTTATTTTGATTATAGTCACAAATTCAACACCATGGCCACAAACAAACACGTCGTATCTTAGCGTTAAGGCCTCACTTTATCCAGCACATCCCCCGGAGCTTCATCCAGAGCATGACCCAAAAGCAGAAAGTCGTCGACTCCTCGAGCCACAGCGAGAAGTGAGTGACCACCAGAGATGAGCAGGACCAGGAAGGGGAAGGCGACATGTTGCAGCATCCTGATGGTCAGAGCGTGGGCCTCCATGTGGTGGATGGGGATGAAGGGCTTGTTGTGCTGCCTCACAAACTTCTTACTGAACTCGAGGCCGATGCCCAAGCTCAGGGCCAGGCCCGGCTTCACGGTGGTGGCCACAGCCGAGAGCCGGCTCGGGTCCACGCCGCTCCTCTCCAAAGCCTCCTGGACCACACGCTCTATGTGTTCTCTGTGGAGCTGCTGTGCCACTGTGGGGATGATGCCACCAGTCCTGCAGCGTTCAAGAGGGGAGGAGATAAGTCAAAAGCAAAACCCCTAAGCAAAGATCCTGTTAACTGAGTACAGCTCTGTCACCCACCTCAGATGAACCTCTTTCTGTGAATGCAGAGACTCTCCCAGTATTTCACCCGTCTCGTCCAGCACAGCAGCTCCAGTGTCGTCGCAGCTTGTCTCAATGCCCAAAATCAGTCTGGAGCAAGGTGCTTTTCCAAGTGAAGGAGAGCACCAAAATGTGTGCTGTAGCAGCCTGTGCAGACGTTTTACTTTTGCAGGGAACATGGTCATGGCCCGTATGCCAGCCAACTGTGAGTTAAAATAGTCTAATGACAGAGGGTGACTTCACCTCATTTTCCATTGAATTTTAAACCCATAGCGTTAATTTTAAAACGGAGACTAACATGGCGACGGTATCACATCAGGTTTCAGGGCAAACTAAAAACACACACAAAACCCGTAGACTGCCGAGCAGAAAGCACTAGTATGCTCTGTAGTTTTTCTTCACCGGTAACTCGCTCTGAGGCCGTGTGGCTGCGTCACATGTAAATAATTCCGTGTACGGAAAGTTTGTGACCTTAGATTAAGTACAGACATCTAAACACTTGAAAAAATACGGGAAAAACATTCACATTACACCTGTCAAACGTATACTTTTAAATAGCCAATAATTTGAGAAGCTGTTTGGAAAACAAAGCATGGGTCCAAAGTTTTGAAGCTTTATTTTGGGGGACATTTTAGTCAGCTGCACAAGCATGTAAGCCCTCGAGTCGAGTCTGAGCTTGCTGACCAAACGGTATACATTTTGATGTCGAAAGAGGTAAATTTGATTTTGTGTCACTTACAGTGTAAAATATGTCATTTTTTAGGTTTGGATCAGTAGCGGGGCTGGGCTGTGTGTTACCAACATGGCGCTGTTTTGTATCGGGAATGTGGCTGTGCTGCCTTCACGGCTACCAGAAATGTGGAATTCTGACAAAAAAACAACCATAATAACCCAGGCTCAACGTGGTGCATTGTTGGTAAAGTTGGCAGGGTTGCTGATACATTTCCTGAAACACTCAGTTTTGTAAAAGGCAACATATTGATACTCAGTGTAGCTGAAATAACACTTATTTACATTACTTACATGTATCTTGTATGTCACGGCATCATCAGGCAACGATGACTTGAGTGATTAATAGAGTATCACCACTATAAACCAGCTATTTCAGGGTTCATTTTTAAAAAGCCAAAACCAAAAGCACTTTATTTGGATGAGAGTAGAATCGCTTTTAACACCAGAGGGTTTCTAAGTACTACAACTTTAAAGGCACCACTACTTTCACTTGTACGTGATTTTACCATTTGTGATTTCTCCGTCGCAGACTGGTTTTTTAACTGCAACGAACTGGTTTCATATGAGTCCATTAACTTGTATCATGCAATACGTGTAATGCTGTCTCTGTACTGTACTTCTTGTATTGAAGGCATAGAGGGTATGTGCAGGGTTTGAGGGAGCTAAATGCTGCTAAGGCTATCAACATACGCGGAAATGCCTCGGATTACATCGTAATATTACTGCTGTGGCTGATGAGGGACGTCCTGCTGCTAGCGAGTGGTTGATATTTTATTATAAACCTGTTAAGTGGATAACCTGTACCTGGCCTGCACGTATTAATACATATCTGAGACGCGTCTGGTAGATTTTCAGTCAGTTTTTTTTAGTAGTTATCAAACAGAACTGTGCTAACGTTACTCCCTGTTAGCCACCACCAGGGTAATTTGCTAGCATTAGCACTTCTTTTTTCTTTGTCTGGGTGTTTTAACAAGCATTTCATGTTGACTTTTCTAAAGGAGGCATGGAACACCCAGCCTGTATTTTGGAGGAATTGAAGCAGTTTGTCCTAAAGGAAGCCCCACCAACAGTGTATTACATCCCAGATTTCATATCGGAAGATGAGGAGTCTTATCTTCAGCAGCAGGTGTATAAGTCTCCCAAAACCAAATGGACTCAGCTGTCGGGCCGAAGGCTTCAGAACTGGGGAGGGTTACCACATCCCAAAGGCATGCTGGCAGAAAAGATGCCTGACTGGCTCTGGCCGTACTGTGAGAAAATCTCCTCCCTAGGTGCATTCAGTGGGAAAACAGCCAATCACGTGTTGGTGAACGAGTACAAAGAAGGGGAAGGGATCATGCCTCATGAGGACGGCCCTCTGTACCACCCTACTGTCACCACCGTCAGCCTGGGCTCTCACACCCTCCTGGACTTCTACACGCCCGTCAGCGTCCAGGAGGGCGACGCACCGCAGACGGAGGAGAACCGCTTCCTCTTGTCCCTGCTGGTCAAGCCTCGGAGTCTTCTGATCCTCCAGGATGAAATGTACCAGCGTCTCCTTCACGGCATCCAGCCCTGCGCCCGGGACACGCTGACGGACAAGGTGGTGAACCTGTCTGCTGCCGGGGCCTCCGCGGGAGAGACGCTGACCCGAGGCACCAGAGTGTCGCTGACCGTACGACATGTGCCCAAAGTTATGAAGACGAAGCTTATCCTGGGGAGGAAATGAAGAAAGGCCGCACGATGGCCTGATAGTTTGTGATGGTACTACATGCTACGTTTGTCTCCCCCATGCTGCTTTGTGACGTGTATCTCACCCGTAATCGATCACTTCTAGCTTGGTTAAACATCTGTGCTGCCTCAAGGGATCTTACTGCTGTTGTAACTTTTCTGGACATCATCCAAGATAAAGACATTGTCAAAGACAACAATACAGAAAAGGTAGCAACTTGAAATTGTTTCAATTATGGTTTCATTCTTTAAAAATATTTGAAGGGATCTGCGTAGCAAACGTCTACGGAAGAAGAATGGTGTCTTTAAACTTGGTGTTTTTAATGGATGAATGACTAATCATTATTCAATTGTTAAAACTGGAATGAATTTCTGTTGATTCATCAACTTCTCGCATTAAATACATCAAATGGATCTAAAATAGTCAAATCCTCATTGGTTGTGCCTTGTGTTGGCCTATGCGTTGTTTACCTATGGATTTATTTAATGGCGCCCGATATACAAGCATAGCCCATACAAGAGGTTGATTTCAGATTTTTACAGTGTATTGTACCAGCAGATAAGTAACAAGGAACTGCAGTAAAGATGTTTGAGGTAATTAAGAAACACCATGATGGTTTGTCCTTGGGACAATGACACTGACAATTTAGTTTTTCCAACTCTAAAATGTTCTGCCCCAGTACATAATATTGGTCACAACTTTTAATTAATCAAATTTAAGGGTTAATATCAATATCGGCCTCAACACTCGAGTGTCAGTTTGGGCTCTAACTGTAAATCCTTTTTACTTCAACTAAGCTATTGAATATAATTCAAATGAGCACTGACACACATACATGTCGTTGCATTTTACTTAAGAAATTAACATCCAAAAAACTCCTCGCTTATTAAACAAAATGGCCGAAAGGATTTATTTCAAGTCCACTTATCTTTTTAAGTTACAACTGGATGGTTCATGTTTTGAGTTAGAAAATCGGCCCCGACTGTTGGGACACAACCTGCCGCCTGATCTCCGTTATGGAGATATAATAAACCAAGCTGCAGCTCAAAGGTCTTCTGGGCTAAAGCGGTTGTATTGTATAGACCGGGCTTATTTTCTGTCCAGAACTGAAAGGTTTTGTCATCATGTGCTCTGTTCAGAAAGATGCACAGACTTTGTTTTAACCCTGGTGTGACATCATGTTTCACAGGAGAACACCGAAACAATGGAGCCGCAGACGAAACGCTGGAAGGGGTCTGTGTGCGACGCCGACTCCTGGGTCGCTTATCCGGTCCTGTCAGATAAGCAGTCCCAAGACGTCGAGCTAATCGAGGCATTTGCGGCCCCCATCCTCGACAAGAAAGAGACTTCTCGACTCCTCCGGGAGCTAAGCGGCCTCTACCCGCTGAACGGTCTCCAGCACATCAAGAGGGTGCGGGCGGTCAGGGAGAAGGGCAGTCCTCATCCTCTGGAAGTCCTCGTGTGCCTCGTCAGCGACGCCACAGACCTGAAGGCGGTGAGCATCGACTCCCTGCTCCCCTCAGGTGGTGTTCGACGTGATGGACTGGGAGAACCTTTTGTGGTCAAGGTCCCCGCACGTCCCGCCTTGACCCGACCCCAGTTTGAGCTGGCGAGCAAACACTGGCCCACCTCCTTTCACGAGGACAAGCAGGTGACCGTCGCCCTGAGAGGGGAGCTCTTCAGTCCGTTCCAGAAAGCCAGGATGCAGACGTACATGACGGCTGCTTTGACTGCTGCCAGAGCGGGGACAGAGTGGGGAATGGAGGCGGTGGGGGCCGCGGTGGTCGACCCAGCGACGGAGAGAATCGTTGCTGTGGGCCACGACTGCAGAGGGGACCACCCCCTCCACCATGCGGTCATGGTCTGCATCGACCTCGTGGCTCAGAGCCAGGACGGCGGATGTTATTCCTTTGACAGGTACCCTGCTTGCCGATTGACTCCGCCAACCCCGGACACCTCTCAAAGCGCCGCGGGTGCAGAGACGAGCTCCCAGCCGTACATATGTACCGGGTATGACCTGTATGTGACCCGGGAGCCTTGTGTCATGTGCGCCATGGCGCTGGTGCACTCGCGGATAGGTCGCGTCTTCTACGGGACTTCCTCCGCCGACGGGGCCGTGGGGACCAAATATAAAATCCACTCACAGAAAGATTTGAACCATCGCTTTGAGGTTTACAAAGGCGTGTTGGGCAAGCAGTGTGAGGGTCTGAATGGACTGGGCAGCCACATCAAGAGAGAGATTGATAATTAACGTGTCTGAGCTGTAGAATTCACAGGTGGAACTGTAGGACTCATCTGTTTTACATAAACATTTCTTTTAATTAAAGTTTTTAATCATTTGGTCATTCTATTGAGAGCATGTGTGTAGATGAAAACTAAGGTTCCCACCGTAGGGCTGACTTTCTTTTAGGTTTGGGTGTTTGACTGAACTTTCTGTGACTTACAGGCTCATTGGAAGGATTAACAGGTCGGACACAAACCTGAATTTGAATACGACATTAACATTACAAATGTTAATAATTCAGTTTTCTTTCGTAGGAGCCTTAGTGAATAGGTCCAGGTGAGGAAGCATTTGTTTGTTTTTTCAGTATTTAGCTGCAGGATGCTTCTCTTTTCTTCATAGCTGCTACTTTATTTGTGCTCATCTTTGAGGTTTTCACATTTACTGTGTTACCAGCTCAAATAAAAAACTTGGATGTTTTGTCACATTAACTTGCAGGGGATGTTAAAAACAACTGTTGTAAAGTTTGATGTGTCAATATTCGAGAGCTGGTTTGCCTCGGCAACTGACTTAACTTTGTTTATTTTTTAACGATGCTTTATACAATTTATTAATTTTGCAGATGATAAGCCCAGTGTTGCTTCTAAGGTCAGAATTGGTTTCCACCACAGCTGACAACAGTTTATAACAGCTCACATCAAAGGTGGGTAGTAAATGCTCTATATTCATCTTTAAAAGACTACCATGTGTAAGATTCCCTGATAATCCTCAAATTAATTGACTTTCCTTATGTGGAAATTACACAAAATCTCCTGATATTCCATAAACATGCTTATACACAACAATAAGAAATGAAACGCTGTAGAGGGCACAAACTTTTTAATAAGATTAAGAAGAAGAAATAAAGCGCTACAGCCAAACAAAGTAGGACTAGCTGCTGTCGTGTTTAGAAATAAACGTGAGAACAGACTGCTCTTAACTCTTTATTCCATAGCTGCTCCGGTACATTACATCACAGTCCAGACCCCTTCCCAGGTTGCCCTGCTTCGCCCCCATTCCCCTGGGTCCTAAGTCCCCACATGTACAGCTTCGCATAACTATGTGCCAACATGTATTTATAATAAATACCACAGCTGCCTTGATGGTAGCAAAAAGTCAATCTAAAATAGAGCAGCTACATTAATGTAAGTTGATCACAGAGATACTGTATACCTCCCTCAGTAAACACTTAACCAGACAACAAGAATTTGTCTCACTTCTACACACAGGACTTTTTCTTTAACATACAGGACATAACATTCACAAAAAAAAAAAAACTGTACAACGAGACGGCCTACCCTGTTCGAGATACAAACGAGAAAAGATTCACATACCGAGGAAATCGTGCAAATAAAGAGTATGATTCTATTCTTCACTCGGCATGAATAAGTTTGACACTCATTACAAAATGAGAGTGTACCAATAAACAATGAGCCACGGGCCCCTACCCTTTACGAAGTAAACATCTTTGAAAAATACATGTCGGGACGTCTCTGTGGCTAGAAACGGACTCAAACTCACAAGATGTGTTGCCATGTGAATTGAGGGCAAAGAAACAAACTCAACCAAAACGCCTCACTGATTCCTGGGCCAGCCCAGGTCTATGCAGGCCAAAAGTACATCGTTAAATATTCACATAAGTTAGTAATGCATATGGCATCCGGTCACCTACAAACCTACTCCTGCTTGTTTGTTTTAAACATTTCATCTTAAACCTGATATACCTAAACGACGACAGTGACGTTTTACACAAACGGTACGACTTAGTACACACGTCTGCGCTACGGACTACGCGGACATTTCGACTCCTGCTGCTGTGGGCCACAGCATTTTTTTTTTTTTGCAATAAATTAATACTTGTTGATGCCGAAGATTCTTACTCCGTGTAGCTGTGGTAGCTTGGGGATCAGGACGCTTAAAAGCGAGGCAGTGTTTATGACGAAGTGCGCCGTGTCGTACTTTGTGTAGAAACTTGCCAGGAAGTATCTGCAAAACAAGACGGGTTGATTAAAAAAAAAAAAAGTCAACCATGACATCCCTTAAAATAGAAGAAATAGTAAGACAAAATGTATACGATTATATACATTTCAGCTTCCATGACTGTTCCACAAAAGCTTTGTTTAATGTCTCGTGAGTGGGGATGACCCAGGATTTGACACGACTATAAAACGTTTCCTGTATCTATGTCTAAATCAGTGCAAAGACAGAATCATGTGACATCTAATACATACAGAATGATCGGGGAGATGGTGAAGAACTTTCTAGACGAAGTGAACTGCACGCCGTAGTCGAGCTGTTCCCAATGTGTGAGAAGTCTGGCTTTTCCTTGGTCGGGGGTCTCAAAGGGTGTGCCTTTCACCGCATGCATAAACACATACATTCCCTGTGGAGACAAAAACACAACCAGTGCTTGCAGTCTGATTACATGGGAGTTTCCTTTCTGTGAATAGTGTAAATATGGAAATTCAAATGTAAAAGAGGAGTTTGACCTTTCATCTAAAAGGCTTTTCTCACCGCACTGCATTGTGTCAGTGTGACAGCTTTCTTAGTCCTGGGAAAAGGGCTAAAAAAAGCTTTCACGCTGACACAATCCTGGCACATTCCAAAGAGGGCAAACCATCTTCAGCCTTGGGCTTGTTGGCCGTGCTCTGGAGCAGGGCTAGCCTCCAGTTTGCCCTGAAATTTGTCGAAGCACGGGGCCAAAAGGGGCCTGTGTGCTGAAGTAAACAATAGAATTTTGTCATCACATTTTAGACGTTGTTGCCCAATCTGTGTAAGAGTAGTCATGCATCATTGTAGAATGTAAACATTAGTTACGTGTTACAGCGGACATTTAATATGAGGGCTAGTAGAAAGGCAGTGTGGACCTTAGATCCCTGGGCTTAGATTAACAATGTGTGTGTGTGAAAAGGGACTCATTTATCCCAGAGTCAACTCTTAGACCCGGGCTAAGGATATCTCGAAAAAGTGGGAAAAGACAATTAGACTGGTGCAGAGAATTTTCTGGCTGTATACCAAACTCTGTTTACTTTCCTGTCTCCTTAAAAAGTATTAAAATAATTTAAAAAAAACAATAACTCTGGGTTGCTGCAAGAGTTTTCGTGTCTTAGGCAAAAAGAGTAGCAGCAGAAGCATCAAAACGGAAACAACACAGCTGCTGCCTGCTGCAATACACATTGCGGAGACAAAAAAAGGACGGGATGATGCAGATTTATTGCAAAGTAATCTATCTTAGCAATGACAACTCATTTCCAAGTACATGCCCCTTTGTCAAAAACACAAGAATGCAGCTTTAAATGGAAAACCTGCATTACAGAGGGAAAAAGAAATACAACTTAAATGCTGACATACGGCCGAGGCATAATCAGCACACTGCAGCTGTATTGTGTGGGAAACAAAAGGCTACAGTTGACCTCAGCCGTTACTGTTAATAGCCTTCCGTAGTGGCTGCGATGCACAATCCTTGTAAACTGCTTCGAGCTCGCACTACATGATGATGTCACACACGGCGACTTTGTTTCTTTATTTGAGGCCGGCCATGTCACAATGAAAGGTCAGTTTTGTCCACAGACCGCATGCGGAGTGGGGGAAATTGTCGTATTATATCACAAGGACAGCCTCCCCCAAATATAGAGCATATCTTAACAAGCGCACACAAGCAAGGAAAAAGGCAACAGACACCAGGCTGTTCGGCCGAGCATGCATGCAACATTCATTCGTCCTGTGTGGCGTTCGTTGTGTTCAAAATGTTATCAAAAAACATCAAGATGATTAGCGATTTGGGGAGCAACAGTTGGTGACAGTGTGAGGATGTAACTTACAAAGTTGTGTATAACATTAGTTAGAGTCCACACCACGGGCACACTGAAGAAGGGTATGCTCAAGAGCACAATGTGAAGTATTCCAACACCAAGCGCATAGGTGAGCCAGATCCCTCGACTGTTCATGACCCGAGTGTTTGGGTTCACCTCACTGTGTGCCACACCCACATTCATTCTGGTCTGTGAACAGAGAATACATACATTTGGTCACAAATCAAATTTATGTGCCAAATTTGGATTTCTGCTTTCCATCTATAACCTACTTCAACAAGTAGTGATGTTAATAGTAAGGTAGTGATATTGTTAGGAGTGAACTTTCGGCATTGGCTGTCAGACTCATCAGTTGGGTGAAAAATGTTTTTACTAAAGATTAAACATTACTCTTTTCCTGTGGTCTTTATTGCTGTGCTGGAAAAACAATTCCCTCTTTGGTAACTCTTAATTTGAAGACACAAATTATACTACCGGTCATTGTAGCACTTTGACCTCCCCGTCAGTCTAAATATGATGGCAAAAAAAAAAAAAAAGGATTGTGTAATCTTATTGAACTTTACCCTCAGACAGACTTTCGGCTGCCAGACTGGATTAAAGAAACAGAGTTGCAAAGCTGCATTTATTAAAGCCAATGATACATTTCCTCCACATTCCCAACAAGGCTTGGTGCATGCCAACGTTCAGCACCCAATGCTACTATTTGAACAGCCAGATTAGATTTTGACATCAGGTATTTTTATTAAATAAATATGTATATTTACACACACACACACACCACTATGAATGACAAGACTTTATCTTATTGACTTTGGACCAAATGTAAGTCTCAGTCTAACATTACCCCTAACAATAAATGCAACTAGAGGACTAACAAGACCACTGGAAAGAATAATTACAATATTTACGTACAAATATTGGGTGCTTTGGTGCAATACAAATATTATAGTCCTTTCGCTGATTACTTTTCGTAGCAATAGCTAAATGTACTGCTTACATAACGTTACCTTTAGTTCCACAAATACATGAAATCAAGCTGATAAAACTTCTTAGTGGCCCAATGTATCTATACTTTAATGGCTTGCCTTGCCAAGCAACTAGATGTGTAAACATGAGACCAGGAGACGGGTCTTCGTCACCAGTATATAGCCCAGACCAAACCACCGCTGTTCTGACCCGAGTAGTTCAGCGTCATTACGCAAAGAAACAGCAAAAGACGCGTTATGGGGTTAAAAGCGTGACATTAAACACCGAGCGTTACAAACTTACAAGTAGTAGCGAGCAGTGGCGGTAGGTATAGAAACAAACTGCTATGGGGAGAAATGTTTATGTCCTTTTTGATGTGTGCAGGTCCCGAGCGCAGACAGCAGCAAGTCGTTAGACTGACCTGAGCGGAAGTAGTCCTGGTTCCGATGTTTATCAGGATATTTTGCCCTATATTCCTGACTCAGGCTGTGCATTGACATCAACGAGTTACACGAACCAGGTTATTATGTTGACGTTTAGATAACATGTGTTTGAAGTAAGGGTTGGTTAGAGGCTGTCTGTGTTTGGTTTTGGCATGACATTCCAACAAAAAGCTAGGTTTATTTTTAGCCTTACCAAAAGTTGAACCATTTAGTCTAAACTCAGGGCAGAAATTACCCATATATAAGGAACCCGCCTTCATGTGACGTTTAACCAATCAACGTGTGAGGAAGGGGGCGGGAATCAGGTCGTTTCCGCTGTGGGGCTCGTGTCTGTTGTTTATGAATCGATTCAACAGGGTCTGCAGTCACAAGGACTCGTCCAAGTCAGTATCTAACTAATATTTAGCTATTTCTTATCTTTGCTTAATAGGAGTTTGTTTACGTTTATAGGAAAGTGTGTTTTTAATTGTTTGCTAACGAGTCAAAGCAACTCAGATAAGTTCCACAGCACTTAAGCTAATGTTAACCTAATACTGTAAAACCCATTTTATTATGGTGTTCAGGTGACATCACGTTTCTATATTGTTTCTGACTAAAATAAGATAACTCGAGTGTTTCTGTAAACTGGCATTTGTACAAATATAACATAACGTCAATAGGTAACGTTAAAGTCTTTCTCTCAGGTGACTGCAATAAATCAGTATTTTTGCCTTAAAGGATCATTTTGAAACTAGAAATCAAGACTTGGATCTCTGTTTCAATCAAGATCAAGCTTGTTATTTAATGCAAATGGTCGCATTTGTTGGCCTCGCTTAATGTGTTAGGCGAGGCCAACAAGCTATAAAAAAAAGTCACCTGCTCACTGTATTGTCGACATCACAGGCTTGCACCCATGCCCATATTTTAATTGACATGAATGACACTGGTGCATCATGTCTTATGCATTTTGGTAAGACCCTTGGGCTCAGAGACATGTTTGAACTCATCTGTAAACATCAACAATAACAACATGTGCAGCGTTGAATTACAGTTTTCCAGTTCGCTCCATTCTCATGTGATGTTGTTGGTGACTCAACAACACTCAAGAGAATCAAACTAAAACCAGACTTCTCGACAACAGGCTCCTTGAATCATGAAGCAGCTGCCTCCGGATACGGTTCGGCTGTTGTCCAGCTCCCAGGTCATCACCTCTGTTGTGAACGTTGTGAAAGAACTGATGGAAAACTCCCTGGATGCTGGAGCTTCGAGCATTGACGTCAAACTGGTACGTTCTCTAAAGGTCTTTGGAACAGGGCGGAATGTATTTTGAAAAATATGGTTGATTAGCAAATGATGAATTATAGGTAGTGTTGTCTGAAGGAGGCTTTGTCTCAATAGAGCTGGGGATGCCTGCCTATTTAGCAGCGCTGTTGTTGTAATGGATAATGACGTTTATAAAATATCAGCATAAAGCATGGTGTAAAACAACACACTGCTATAAAGACATTAATAGAGAATAGCTATATTTTTTCTGCAGGTTAGCGTGTGCTTTTTAATCCTCACAAGTCAAAGTACTGATTCTGATTCCCCCTCCAGTTGCACAGGCAGTCTACAAGTATTATTGAATTTTTGCAGGAGAACTACGGGTTGGACCGCATAGAAGTGCGCGATAACGGCCATGGAATCAAAGCAGAAGATACTCCCGTGATGGCCGCGGCGCACTTTACTTCAAAGATCTGTAGCAACGAGGACCTGGAGCGTCTGGAGACGTACGGCTTCAGAGGAGAGGCGCTGGGCTCCATCTGCTCCGTGGCCGAGGTGAGAAGTATTTAACAATTATTACATTACGCTGAGATCAAAATATTAATGTACAGATAGCATGACTTTTTGATTTATCAGTATATATTAGGAATTAAATATACACCCTGGTTTAATACTGCATATAAACGGGGTTCGTTGGGAACCTGATGTTTAATTGTACTCTTTCCTTTTAGGTGGCTGTCATCACGAAGACAGAGGAGGATGACATCAGCACCCAGTACACGCTTAACTTCACTGGGCAGATTGTCTCTCAGAAGCCGTCTCACTTAGGTCAAGGCAAGGCAACAATAATTCAATCGAAAATCGAGGACCGCTTTTGTATAATGAAGTGGTAACGTGGAACACTGTAGTCACAGATAGACACTTTGACATCAGTTAAAAAAGTATACCGCTTAACTATAAATTAATGTTTGAGTCCACTAGCAGCCACATTAGCTCCTGTACTACGAATTATACTGTTTAGGAATATCTCGTAGATAAAACTGTAGATAGATGTATAATTCTTTAAAGGGATCACGTGACAACTTCCTTAAAGAGGTAATATTGGTGTTTGTTATGAAACATTTCAGAGTAACACACACTTTGACCAGTGTCCAGTTAGATCTGTCTACCGGAGTCCGTTAGCCTCGTTGCACAAAAAGTACATTTTATGTCAGAAGCTGTTGCACACCTCTGCTCTTTGTGTTTCATAGGCACAACAGTGAGTGCACTGAAGCTTTTCAAGAACATTCCAGTGAGGCGTCAGTACTACTCCTCTACCAAGAAGTGCAAGGAGGAGCTGAGGAAAATACAGGAGCTGCTGATGGCCTACGCCATTATAAAACCGGACTTGAGGCTCACACTCATTCACAATAAGGCCAGTGACTCCTTCTCACTTTTTAGTTTTCAGTTAGTAAAGAAAAAAATCTATACCGACAACTTTCACTGGTGACAGACAGCTTTCAATCAGCAGAATACAAATATATGCATAATATATATTATTTACAATCAAAGTTGTAACATTGGGACATTTCCATCAGTCACTAACCAAGCAGTCATATAACTGCTTTTTAAAGTGATATGCAGCTCAAAATGATTGAGGACCGTAACAATGATCGCCTTTGGGCTTGACAGTTGATCGTACAAGTGCTGTAGTTTTGTACATGGAATCTTTACGATGGAAAACGGATATCAAAATGTCATTACAATTGTTTGAAATCATACCTAAGCTGTCGATCTGCATGATCGGTGTATTTTAACTAGTCATCATTTCCTCAAAAGATGACTAAATACACTGCTGTGTTGCGCTATTGTCCTTCCAAGAGCTACGCTGGTAGCCGTGTCTCTGATTTCAGTGGATTATGCCGAACAAACAATGCCAAAATGAATGCCAGATGCATTAACACAGCCAAAATGATCTATATTAACAAGCCTGAAATGTCCCACGTGATGCAGGGTTTTAACTCCCTGCTCACACAGTTCAGCATCCACTAGATGTCCTCATTAGTCTTCAAATGAACCAACGTCTCTGCCTCAAAATCACCCTCAGCTTTATTTAGTATTCCATGTATTTACAGTATAGTGTAAATACATTAATATACTAATATACTGTAAATACATTAATATACTGTAAATACATTAAATACACTAATATACTGTAAATACATTAAAAGACTAATATACATTAGTCTTCAAATGAACCAACGTCTCTGCCTCAAAATCACCCTCACCTTTATTTAGTAATCCATGTATTTACAGTATAGTGTTGCATGTGTGGCGAACGTAAACGATGACATTGATCTAAGAGCGAAGGAAGGTACGCTAGTTTATTGATCTTCAACATTTTGATACTACTGCCACTACTACTACTACTACATCTGGTGCTACTATTACTAACAATACATGATATTTATAAAGCGCTTTCTAAAAATTGGTTGCTTCCAGCTAAATACGGTATTATTAATAAAGTGAATGGTTTAACTATTAACTCGACACTAAATAAAAACGGTCTGTATGGAGATTAATGCTGCAAAGGAAAAATAGAGATTCAGTGCATCTTTTTAAAAATATATCTGTATTAATGAGTTTATTTAACATATAACTCACGATGCTATTGGACGAGGGCAGGAAGGGGAGTTTGTTTTCTTTGACATTCAATCAATAAATGAAAATAACAAAACATAAAAACAGTTATTACAACAAGAAAAATGGGGGGGAAATACAAAAAGCCTATAATCCCCACTACCAATCCTGTCATATGCTCGCACCCAATTCCCTGTCTAAATTTCACTCATGATAAATTCTGTGTCAAACGTGTAAAAGCTCTTAAACAGACGGTTATTAAAGGATATTCAGGAGCTTGCTAGGTAAAGTATTAATCAAACCACTTCTTGAAGACAGTAAATTGTCTCCAGCCTCCTGTTGTTTAGTTGTCTGTGCTAATACGAGTCTTTGAGCTGTGAAATCGTTACGTGTGACGGAAAATATTTATTTGACTTGTCGACGCACTTGAGGAACGCACAAGCCTGTCATCGAGCCAAGCGAGCACAGATTGATTAACTTGATAGAAAGGTTAGTGAGTTCTTTGCTGGCTCTGCTTGATGAAAGTTCAGGTCATTAAAAGAAACGCGTCTCGAAATATCATGCATGCAACAAATTATACCCGTCGCTATTAAGGAACAATAATAAGACTGATAAGGACTTTTTAAAATTACCCTCAAAATCTACAACCTTGCCTGAACAGAGTTTATTGCATTCATTTATTATGGCTCCTACTAACAATCGTTTTTATTATTTTATTTAATCAGTCAGCACAAAGTCAGAAAATTGCAATCAATTGCAATTCCCCATCACAATTTTCCAGAGCTCAACCTGACATCTACAAATAGTCTTGTTTTGTCCGACCCGTATTCGAAACCCCAAAAAATAATGATATAACACTTGGCGAAAGCAGCAAATACTCACATTGGAGAAGATGCAACCAGAAAATGTTGGGCATTTTACTTGATAAATGACTTAAATGATTAACTGATTATAAAATGAGATAAACTGTCAACCGTTTCTGCACTAGTATTTATTATATACACTTAGGGATAAAGTATGTTAACCTCTAGGAACATTACATGTATGAAAAGGGCTCTTTGGTATGTAACCACTGTACTGATATGACATTCAGGTGCAGCTTAAAGGTCCTCTGTTCTCTTGAAAGGTTTGGTTGAGATCTGCTGAAGTGAACCAAGTCAGAGCCTTTAACATGTCTGCAGTCATGCCTGAATATCACTCACCTTGACTCTACAAAAAGTATGAATCATTGATCATGATTTTACTTTCCATCGTAAAAAAATGTGAGTCTTGCAACGTTGACAGTTTGCATTTGTAGCGTCTGCAAAGTGATGTGTAAATTACTTTAAAGCGTTGCTCATGAGGAGTGTTTGTTATTGTCCATTACCAAATGGAAACGGTGAAATGACTTAATGACGATAGAAGCTTCAGTAAATATAACAAACACACACACCAAAACAGTGCTTCATATTCCACAATGTCCAATTTTAGTTTTAATCATTTATTGTCAACATCAGTCATTAATTGTCATCAGTTAATGGAGGTTGCATGTTTTTGGTGCAAGATCAATGTCGGTAAATTACTTTTTTTTTAGCATATTTTTAACCCATTTTGTTCACTTTTTATGACCTGCCCCCTGGGTTGCACAGGGTTATAGACTTTTGGAGTGCACAATAAAAAAAAAAGCCAGTTATTTTGGGTTGTTCCATTGCATAACCCTCGATTAATCAGCGGCGGAATTATTTAGCAATTAGACATTTCCATCCCTCATGCCCTTTCCCACCACAGCTAAGCGTAACTGTCAGGTGCTCCGAACACAAATATGGCTGACTGTGATCCCTGATTTGGCTGATTATGACACCTGAGTAAGTCGCTGAACACAGCTGCGGACTTAACCCCGGATTCCGTTTCAGGCTGCAGCCAGTTTGTCCACAGGAGTGTATAGGTGGTGTGGGTCACGCAGGGGCCAGGCGTTCATAGAAATCAGTTTAGAGGTAGTCAGAGGAAGGTACTGAAGCCGTTTTGTACAATCAGCACTCAGTTGCCCCTATCCTTTATCTCCAACTCTGCTATTTGGCCTGTGTCGTGTTTCACAGCTTCTTCAGGAACCGTTTACAGGACTGATCCGTTTACATGGGCCAAATTGCGTATTTAATAGCCGAGACATGCCCTGCGAACAGAGTGCATGCTTTTAGAAATCAACACCCGGGTAATGTATTCACTGGTGGACACAAACTACTTGCCCACACGTTGTGGGTGTCAACATATTGATATTTTCTGATCCGACATAATTCCAAAAGGATATAAGCATATGACCTTTTAAATCCATGTTTGTGTCACCGGTCCTTGAACAAAATCAAAGTATAAACTAAATGTTTTTGAGCCAATATTGTAATTACGATTTTTCCCTGAGATTCAACTGTTTTCACACGAATATATCTACAAGTATCCGTCGCATGTGGCATCTTGGGTTTGAAGTTTAGATAATGTCAACAGATCTTCTTGGTTAGAAATGATGGAAAGGTTCATTTTTAATGTAAACTTGTCCATTTTTACATTGGCAACAATATCTTTAACGTTCCCTTCCCTAAATTTGGTCGTAGACTGATATGACTTCTGCTGCTTTGCTGGTTTTTGGTCATCTCTTGCTGAATCACTTGACGGAAACAAAATGCATGTTGCTAACTTGACAAGTGTTTATGCTGTGTGAATGGCCTGACTCATGGAAGTCATATTGTATCATATTGTTGCAGGTGGGGGTTTGGCAGAAGGCCACGGTGGCCGATCACAGAGGTGCCCTCCTTGCTACGCTGGGAGCCGGCGCCGTTGCCAGCCTGCTCCCTTGCCACCATCACCAGGAGCAAACAGAGGTTAGTTAAGGGGAAATATGCAGAGATGAGAGAGAAAATGAACAAAACTACAGTTTTCTTTTGGTTTTCACAACATTGCTGGCAGAAAGTCAGTTTAATATCAAGGCAAAGCAAGTTTATTTATATAGCACATTTCAGACACAAAGGCAATTCAAGGTACTCTACATAAGCATTAACATACAAAACAAGTAAAACTGAAAATAAGTCATAAAAGAGAGAAAAAATAAGAATAAACAGTATAAATAAGGTAGATTTAAGAGGTGCAGAATCGAACATCTTTAATGATCTCGGGAAAAGCAGCGGCAAACAGAAACGTTTTGAGCTTCAGTTTAAAAGAACAAAAGGTTGAAGGAGACCTCAAGTGCTCTGGACGTTTATTCCAGATCTGCTGTGCTCAAACACTGAAAGCTGCTTCTGCTTTGGTTCTGACCCCGGGAGAAGGTGAGCAAGCCTGTCCCAGATGAGATTGATAATAATCTGGGTTTATAGTTGTGTAAATCTGTGCGTCGTCCGCATCATTATGGTAGGATATTTTCTTGTTTCCCGAAGATGCGAGCTAGATGTTGAATAGAGCCGGACCAAGAATGGACCCTTGGGGAACTCCACAAGTCATTGCTGTTCGTTCAGATTTGTGAGGATCAGCTGACACAGAATAGTCTCTATCCTGCAGATAAGGTATAGACCAGTGGAGACTGAGAGAGAGTGCCACACAGTTTGCCGTCAGTCCAGTAGTATGTTATGGTTAACTGTGTCAAACGCAGCACTGAGATCCGCCGGTACTAAGACGTATTGTTGGACTTTCTTGAGAGCGGTCTCTGTGTGGTGATGAAAAAACAATTATTTAGTTTCGAGAAGATATTGAGGTGATGGAAAAACAGCTTTTTGTATGATTTTACAGAGAAGTGGGAGGTTTGATATGGGCCTTCAAGTTTGAGGTGTCAAGATTGTTCTTTTTAAAAAGAGGCCTGATTTGCTGCTGTTTTCAGTATCTTGGGGAAATGGCCTGAAAGGAGAGGAGTATTGACTATTGCCAGGGGGTCTGGTGTTATGCAATTAACAACATTCTTTAGAAAGCTTGGGGGAAGAATGTCAAGGCTGCAGGAGGAAGAACTTAAACGTAACACAATCTCCTCCCGGGTGTTACGGCTGATGGGATCAAATTGTGTCATGCAGATAGAATTGGTTTTAAGAGGACGGATGGATGACATGGACCCTTCACCTGATACGGAGACACTGACAGCTTGCCTGCTTTTTTAAATTTTGCCTGTAAAAGAAGGCGGCGAAGTTGTTGTCATGATTTGGTAGAGTTCAGGTGCTACTGATGGGTGGGGGGTTAGTCCATAGCTGTCAGAATGCAAGATAATTCGATAGCACTACTGTTGACATCACCAACCATAACTATACAAGTCGATACAGTGAAGTCATGCCTGCGTGTAAGTCAAGTAGAAAAAGAACCTTAGTGGCCTATCAGGGCTCAACTTTTAAAAGTGCTTCCCAGGCTGGCAACCAGGTTTCACCCTTTGGTTGCCGAAACTTAAAAATACGTTTGGTAACACCACATCATGTGGCTCCAAATATATAATATCCAATATTTAATTATCCCTAATGCAACAAATATATAAAAAGAATAACACATATTTTAGGGTGCAACCATTCCTGTTTTTGCTTTGGCTATTATTTATATGTTAAAAAGTAGTTGCCTCTGACGGCAAGCAAAGGCCAACAATTGGTTGCCAATTTCTAGAAAATGGTTGCCAACGTTGCAACCCTTATTGCCGAGCCCTGCCTGTAGATATTTAAGAACAAACAGGAGGAATGTAACTGAAGCGATATGGTTTTGATATAGCTAACCCTGTCTGACTGTCTCACATGGACCGTTGCTCAGTCGGACAAAGTCTCCTTTGAAAAAAGGATGTCGTGAATGTGAAGCGACGACAAGGAGTCACGGGAACACAGCACACTCTTTGCTCTCATACGGCCATTATCGCAGTTCATCTTCATAAGGCACACACTTGCCCCCTTGAAAAAGGTAATTGTCAACAAGTCCAAGTGCTTAACAAGAAAAGAAACAAGTTTGAAAAATATATTGAAGTGCATTGGGAATAAATTACGATGACTCAACGTCTTCTTTGTTTTGCTTGCTTTAGGAACATCTAATTGTAACTGTCACCGTTATGTTAAAAGCCTGGTTAAGATGGATACTTTTTGCAGAGCAAATGAGAGCATGCACGTTACGCACTGGACCGTGAGCTAATAACCTCATCACGAGCGCCTGGTCTGAAGCCAGCAGATGTGGTCAGCTGGTGGCTGGCCAACTATTCCCTTGCCCTTTTCTCCTGAGTTCTTTCCTGATGAAGTGTGAGTGATTTTCGTTAGCTAAGCTTTGTTGTGCTGACCGTAATCGAATTATTGTCGAGCGGCAACTTTCTGCTTGGTCACGGTAGGTGTCACGCGGCTCGTACCTGCTGCTCGGCTGCCAACTAATCCAGCCTGACAGATGTGGAGCAGCCCTTTTCACCCCGTTTCTCTCTCTCTCTCATTTTCCTCTTTGTTGTTGTTATTTTGCTGCTGCACCTTGGTGCCCAGTTATGAGGACGACCTTTCACCTTTTCCCTCTTACTCCCTTTAGCAACCAAAGAGAACGTTCCTCCTCTTTGTCCCTTCGTGATCAAGGGAACTGGGTTGACAATTTCTCCGGGGCCTCGCTCCGGGAGAGTTGTAAGAGCTGTTCCTCTGCAGAACAAAATGTGACACTGCGGGACTACACACAGCCGCGGCCCTTTTGGGCCAGAGGTGCCATTCGTGCGCTCATAAAGTGACCCTAATGAGCAGGAATAGAGAGAAGCACATGTACCCCCGACCTGAAACAGCAGTTCATTTATTAACTTCATTAGCATGCGTTGCTGCTAATAATGAGCCCTAGGCCATGTGGTGGGGGGGGGCATAGCCACGACGCCTGCAATCTGTAGAACATTAATAGCTTTCCATACTTTCTTACTAGCTGACATTAATAATGGGAGTTTTAAGTGTATTTGTTCGGTTTTGTGTCGAGTCATCAGTTTGAGCCCACGAGAACCACCTCTGGCATGATTCTAGGTGAAAGGTAATCGTGTACGACATGTTGGAGCCTGCGTGTCGAGAGGAACCCACAAACTGCCCGTCGCTCTTGATTGTTTCCAAATTTACTGTGAAAGGACGTTTGCTGTTCGGACAAGAACTTTTAAAGAAGTTGATGAGATCAGTGTAGCGAAGCCTCTGAAGGAATGTAGCGTTCTCTTGTTCTCATTACACCGTGACAGCGTATGTACAGTATGCTATGTCCGTTGCTGAGTGCGTGTTGGCTTGTGCACAACCTGAATTAATGGCCTCATTCCCAGATGTGCAGCTGTGCTGTCAGCAGAATGGCTCAGCCGTGCCGTCTTCATTGAACTTGTATTGGTGGTAAAGTTTATGTCACGTCCAGGTGTGAAGTAGTTACACTGTTATGCTGCTGTGCCAGCCGGCTGCTGAGCATGACCAGAAGGTCTCATTTAAGAAAACGTCAAATTCAGCGCTTTACCACGACCATTATTTGCCTTGTAGTGTCATATCCTAGTTTCTGTCTGCTACCTGCTTTGTGCTTATCGGTTTAATATTATCATTGTTTCTTATTTTATTCAGATTGTTTTAGATGGCTTTTTTCCAAAGCCTGGAGCGGATTACTCTTCCACAAGCTCATCGAACCCTGACAAAACATTTATATTTGTCAACAACCGGCCTGTCCACCAAAAAGATGTGATGAAGGTAGAGTCTTTCTGGATCACTCAACACAACACAATACATACAACCAACACTTTTTTGAATCTAATTCATTCATTCTTTTATTTCTTGTTGAATACTTTTTCCTGGTTGGACTGTGTGATCGATCATCAGTTGCTACGTCAACACTACACTGCTCAGTATCCGGGTGATGCGGCCCGAAACCGCTACCCCACCGCCATGCTTAAAATTACGGTTCCACCGTCCTCAGTCGACGTCAATCTGACACCTGACAAGACACAGGTTCTTCTTCATAACAAGGTAGCTATGAAATTCACTATAATCGGATAGAATTTTGTCAGAAAAAATTCAAGTCATGCTCCAGCCTTGCTTTATTGTGGGAATAGCCCAAGACCCGAGGCTGCCAGATGTGATTTGATGATAAATTCCTTGTATCGCCAATACTTTAGGAGGCTGTGCTGACCGCAGTAGATGCATTACTGGTTTCTCTCTATGGCTATCGGCCCGATGGTGACCCCCCAGCTGAGAAGCAGCTTGGCCGTGAGACGTCCTCTTCTCGGCCTAGCACTTTGCGGACTGATGATGCTTCACGACCGGACAACGAACAAAGCGTAGAGAGGGACGACGGTCTCGCCAACTGCCGCGGTAACTTCCTCAACAAGGCACCTGAACATGCTCTGTCAATAGCAAGAAGCACCGATGCTCCACTGGACCGCCGGTCCTCAAACGGCAGCTCTTCCTCCTCTGTAGCAGAGGACTGGATTGTCAACCATTTCCCAGTTGGGCTTGAGTCGAACCTTTCTCTCTATGACGATGAGACGGCTCAGAGCTGCGCTCAGGCAGCAGGAATGGGTTTAGCAGAGAGACCCGAGGACAATGCTGTATCAGGTGCAGACTCAAGCAAAGGCCAGATATCTGCTGCGGACTGGAGCCGGGGGACGGCTTTGACCGACCCCGCGTCGGGAGAACCCCTGCGGCCCGTCAAAATCCACCAACCCTCGATGAGCAGTCGTTCTGGCTCTGACGACATCGAGAGTCAGAGCGGCCCAAACAAGAAGATGTTCAACGCCATCACGGAGAAGCGGGCTGCTCTGACGGCCTACGACCTGATCAGCAACCGCGCCATGAGGGCACCGCTGTCTCCTGCCGCCCTCTTCGAGAAGGAGGCCAGAGCAGAGGTCCTCAGGGAGAGACCCACAGCCGGCCTGCAGGATATCAGCGTCGCCGTTCACGAGAGGTGGAAAAATCTGAGGGAGGAAGACCGTAAGAAGTGAGTTTCCAGACCTTCACCTTTCCAAGCAGTCGTTTCCATTTCTTGTTACTTGCAAGACAGGGGGGGGGGGGGGGGGGGGGTGGGGGGTCTGACCTGTCGTTTGCATGTGTACTGTCTAGTCTGGAAAGTTTGTTGATATGAGCTGTGTTTCTAATTTCCAGTGTCTGAAAGGGGGTTAGGTAGATGACATTTACCGCGGGACATTAACAGGTATCACTAATGGTGAAATATCCTCTATTTCCAAAGTATGCCATCCAAGTATTTATTAATTACTTATTTAAGTATTATTCCAATTGTGTTAATGTCCCATACCTACAAAATTCCCTAAACAGAGACATTTATAGAGACACTATGACAAGATTTAAGAGACAAAGACTGCTATGAACTGATTCTTCCCTTTGCACAGTATTTCTTGATTTCTAAAGAGAAACCACAACATACGTTTTGTATCTAACTATCCTGTTTCCAGGTTCAGGCTGCAGTCTCTCTGTCCATTGAAAATCTCACCTACATGTACGTCACAAGTGGTATTAGGAGTGACACATAGTTGGCCAGTCAAGAACAGATTTGGCACAGAACAGATGGAGGTAATGGGTTTTTTTCAAACCTCGCTCCCTCACAGTCAAAGGATTTACATTAATGAAGGTGAGACGGGGGTGGAGTTATTTGAAAAACAAAACAAACATGATATAAAAATGGGGTGATCAGACAAATGTGGCATTTTGGGTAGATTAGTGTGTCGTTCTGTAGCCTCAAGATGGGAATTTGCTTCCGAAGTGTAAGAATTATTACAAAAAACATTTAAGAAATGGTGCTATTAGCAGGTCAAAGAGCACAGCATACAGCTCTTGTGTTTTTACAATCAATTGATTTAATCAAAGCCAATTATGAAACGGGATGAGAGTTGAATCTGGTCACACGGTCATTGGCAACTTCTGTAATTGGCCAGACGCCCGGCGATCTCTATCCACTGAGCTAAGTAGCATCATAGAACAACACTATTACACAGCGCTGACGGCGCTTCATCCCAATTACGTTAGATCACTGCGTACCAATTTAAAGTCATTACCAAGTTGGATCGTGTGCGTCAGCAGTGGCTGGGGCCTCATATAAGGTATGGCAGAGTGTATGGAAAAAGACATCTGTTTGGAATCCCGCCTTGCCGTAACTGCTGTCTTAAACATGAAACAAGTGCTTGGCTCCTTTCTCCGCCACTGGTAAGTGGCACACCACTTCTAGGAATTACACTTGCACAAGTTCACGAAAGAGGTTCTTTGAATAATGGGGTGCTGAAGTGTAATCCCTAATGCTTAACACTTGAAGATCTATGGAAACACGAGTTTCGTGGACAGGAACAGATGGCAGCTTAGCTGATGTGCTACACAGAAGAAGTTGAGCACACAAGTTTGTACAACATTGTATATAAAGCAAGATTTTCCAGAAGTCTTAGAGATCCGTACCACTTATTTAGGTGGACTTAGATGCCTGGGTTAGACATACTGAAGTTCATGTCTAAAATGGGTGGAGTGCCCTTTTTAATTTAGCCTATAGTGTTAACCTTGGGCATGTTTTTGCCATACAAATGTCCAAATCAGTGCATGCTGGACTGGTAACTTGGAATAGATTTGAAGTCACTACTGTTTTAACTCAAAGATACTTGGTTGAACTCGGCAGGTATGAGGAGAAGGCAAAAAAACACCTGGAACACCACGACCAAAGGACCAAGTTGGCCTCGGCTGAAGGTCCCAGAGAGACGAGTGTGAGCACCCCCAGGGGCCATGCCCAGGGCCAGAAACGCAAGGCCCCGCTGTCCAACCAGCAGCTGCTGGACCAGCTCTTCTCTGCACAGCCCCAAAAGAAGATGAGGAACCCTGCACCCAAGCCCTCGCAGGTCCTCCCCTGCAGCGTAGCTGCCCTTCGGCTGCAGCTTCAGCGCCTTTCATCCCAGAGCAGCGCAGTGCCACGGGGCCTCCGTCTTGTAAACCGGCTGGCCTCTCAGAGCGCCTGGGTCATTTTATATGGTCAGAGGCTCATGTTGTTAAACCCATTTCGAGTGGAGGAGGCCTTGCTGTTTAAGAGACTCCTAGAGAATAATATACTTCCAGCAGCGAGTCTCCAGAACCCTATACAGTTAACAGATGGGTAACGTATCAGCCACTTCTCACCAGCAAAATGCCAACCCTTTGGGAAACTGCACACTCATCCAATATCGTTACATACATACATGCTCGAGACAATTTTTTAAGATAAACAAACCGTAATCCTTGGTTTCTATTAGGGCTTTTCTAATTTCCCGAAACACACAGTTGTTGTATGTTAAACATCTCCTTGTCTCTCTGTTATAGAAGTCTCGGGGGGGCTGAATATACTGAGGCCCTGTGCAACATGGAGAAACAAAGCCCTGAGCTAAACGGAGGGGCCCTCTTCTGCGATCGCAGGCTTGTGGCTAATGGGTTCAAAATCAAACTCACTCCAGGTACATTGTAAATAACGCTATTGTATGAGGCAGTCTAGTAGGATTGAAGGAACATTCGTTTGCCAATTGTGTCCCTCTGAACCTGCTTACAAAATGGTACAGCCCATAAACAGTCTAACACAACCGGTCAATCTTATTTTTATATTTTTTAGTCGTGTTTTTAAAGGTCTCATGAATCGTCGAGTGTTATTTAACACAATGTAGGAGCCATCATTTAATGTCATAGTTCACCAGTCATTTCGAAATGTCAAACATACAGTCCTGAGTAACTGGATTACAGGCAATTATTTCTGACAGAGTTTCTGTGAGTTTTCTATTTCTTGTGGGTACAACTAAATATTCCCATTCCTTCAACAAATGTGTCCATCATGAAAAACTATGAATGATGAAATAGAGAAGTTTTACATCATGAGGACCAAAGAACCAAGTATGTTTTTAGAGTTGTCTTTATATAATGGATCAGGATGAGTGTAAATAATGAACTGAGCACATATTTTAACATTTAGCACACTAAGAAATCAGCCATGTTAACCAAAAATCTGGTAACTGAAAACAACAAGTTAGTATAATGCAGCTAATATAAGATATAATGCAAAGACCCGAGCAGAAAGCAGAATTATGTTTGTACTGAGCATACGTAGTTCTTTTTTTCAAGGAGATGGTCCTTGTATTGACAGGTAGATTTTTCTAATAACATACAGTGTACATCAGTGTAGTTTAATCGTGTATATACTGTAATAAATGAATTCATCAGTCAGGGTGATGTTAGTTCTAAATATAATGTCAGAATAAACCAGAATAACTCCAATTAAACTTGTTTTTGTCGGCTCCGTCATCATTATTGTGACATTATTTCTCTTGCAAGGGGTGTACGGTGTCCTGTGAGCGATGGTTGTTTTTGTTGCTGGAATGGTTCACCTCAGTTGACATTGGCTCTCTGCCGGACTGAGTGGTCTCACAGTGGGGTTGTACCCCAGTGTGCAGGTGTTGAGAATGGTTGCCCTTTAAGAAATTCAAGGAATTTTCATTTGGCACCGCCAGCCTCGGTGGGTGTGCGTGCGAGCGGGGTGCAAGGTAAGCGGCACATATACAGTTGTGTGAAAAAGTGTTTGCCCCCTTCCTGATTTCTTATTTTTTTGCATGTTTGTCACACTTAAATGTTTCAGATCATCAAACAAATTTAAATATTAGACAAAGATAACACAGGTAAACACAAAATGCAGTTTTTAAATGAAGGTTTTTATTATTAAGGGGGAAAAAAAATCCAAACCTATATGGCCCTGTGTGAAAAAGTGATTGCCCCCCCCCCTGTTAAAACATAAATTAATTGTGGTTTATCACATCTTTGGAAAGCTGAGTTCAATTTCTCTAGCCACACCCAGGCCTGATTACTGCCACACCTGTTCTCAATCAAGAAATCACTTAAATAGGACCTCCCTGACAAAGTGAGGTAGACCAAAAGATCCTCAAAAGCTAGACATCATGCTGCGATCCAAAGAAATTCAGGAACAAATGAGAAACAAAGTAATTGAGATCTATCAGTCTGGAAAAGGTTACAAAGCCATTTCTAAAGCTTTGGGACTCCAGCGAACCACAGTGAGAGCCATTATCCACAAATGGCGAAAACATGGAACAGTGGTGAACCTTCCCAGGAGTGGCCGGCCGACCAAAATTACCCCAAGAGCGCAGCGACGACTCATCCAAGAGGTCACAAAAGACCCCAGAACAACATCCAAAGAACTGCAGGCCTCACTTGCCTCAATTAAGGTCAGTGTTCATGACTCCACCATAAGAAAGAGACTGGGCAAAAATGGCCTGCATGGCAGAGTTCCAAGACGAAAACCACTGCTGAGCAAAAAGAACATAAAGGCTCGTCTCAGTTTTGCCAGAAAACATCTTGATGATCCCCAAGACTTCTGGGAAAATACTCTGTGGACTGACGAGACAAAAGTTGAACTTTTTGGAAGGTGTATATCCCATTACATCTGGCGTAAATGTAGCACGGCATTTCAGAAAAGGAACATCATACCAACAGTAAAATATGGTGGTGGTAGTGTGATGGTCTGGGGCTGTTTTGCTGCTTCAGGACCTGGAAGACTTGCTGTGGTAAATGGAACCATGAATTCTGCTGTCTACCAAAAAATCCTGAAGGAGAATGTCCGGCCATCTGTTCGTAACCTCAAGCTGAAGCGCACTTGGGTTCTGCAGCAGGACAATGATCCAAAACACACCAGCAAGTCCACCTCTGAATGGCTTAAGAAAAACAAAATGAAGACTTTGGAGTGGCCTAGTCAAAGTCCCGACCTGAATCCGATTGAGATGCTGTTGCATGATCTTAAAAAGGCGGTTCATGCTCGAAAACCCTCCAATGTGGCTGAATTACAACAATTCTGCAAAGATGAGTGGGCCAAAATTCCTCTACAGCGCTGTAAAAGACTCATTGCCAGTTATCGCAAACGCTTGATTGCAGTTGTTGCTGCTAAGGGTGGCCCAACCAGTTATTAGGTTTAGGTGGCAATCACTTTTTCACACAGGGCCATGTAGGTTTGGATTTTTTTTCCCCCTTAATAATAAAAACCTTCATTTAAAAACTGCATTTTGTGTTTACTTGTGTTATCTTTGTCTAATATTTGAATTTGTTTGATGATCTGAAACATTTAAGTGTGACAAACATGCAAAAAAATAAGAAATCAGGAAGGGGCAAACACTTTTTCACACAACTGTAAGGTGGTTCCGTTGCACAACCTCTGCTGCGTATCCCATCCTTTAGCTAGGATTGTCTAAAATGTGTCATTTTCAAACTTTTATTACAATAGATTGATGTGTTTCTGTCAGTTATTGCTCTCTACATACATTTTTAAAAGACGATGCACATGCAACACAACCAGCACAGAAATATTTAGGTTAAAATATTAAACCTACCTCTACTTATCCAGGTTTTTTATCGTACTTTTCTGAGTTAATTTTCCATCCAAAGTCGTGTGTCAGAAATATAAATTGTGCATGATTTGCAGTATTTCCTCATGAAATGAGAAGCTATCACTCTTCCACCCTACAAGACAACTTCCTTCCAGTCTGCTGGGGCTTCTATTAGTCAGTTAACACTCCATTTGTCCCTTCGCTTATTTGACTTGGTCATCATTCCAGCCGTAAACCACAATATTTATTTATTATTCTTTCCTGGAGATAGTAGTAGCGTCTGGAGTATATTAATCCTTGTTTTCTGCTTGTTTTGGCCAGGCCCCGCGTCTGCCGAGAGACATCTGGAAGTGACAGCTATGGCAGACTGCGTGCCTTTCCTCGGTGTGGAGGACCTCAGGGAGATCCTGACAGCAGTTCTTCACAGGAAGGCCCGGACCGTGCAGGAGTGCCGGCCACTTAAAGTCACAAACTACCTGCAAGTGAGAGACGCTATGAATTAAGATAAGCAGTGGATAAACTGTTAGCTCTATCATATATGTATATATCTGAATTGTATCTTTCACCTCACAGGGTGAAGCAGTACGACTTGCCCGTCAGTTACCTTCAAATCTATCCAAGGAAGATGTGGAGGAAACCCTTCTACGGATGGATCAGCAGCTCACTGGGAGCAACCAGACCTGCATCCACGGACGACCGTTTCTCCAACACCTGTCTGACATTCCTTCTACAGACCAGGAAGCTAAAGCTCTGCTGAGGCCTTTAGAGCTGTAAGAAGAAGACACCTCAATCAAAAATCTATGAAACAGCCGCCTCATTTCGACGCTGCTGATTATTCTCAATAATCTCAGCTACTTGAGTTGTTTTCGTTCTGCTCAAATGATGTCCAGCTTCGTTACAAAACATAAAGATTAAAGTATTTTTCCAGATTTTGTGCATGGATCAAGCATTTAACTCATGTTAACCTTGAATTGTTCACTTCTATTTAGTTTTCCTATTTTGCAATATATTACCTGTAATTCATTTTACCCAGAATCGCTGAAGCCAAGCTATTATGATTGCAAAGGGTTTGGCTGCGCTGTGGAGGGATGCAGGTTAGAATCCTTTGACTGGCTCAAAACGTCTAGATGAAGACTGTAAACAGGTAATGTTCTCTCCGCATCGACTGCATATGACTGTTAGAGCAATTCACTTAATACGTTGTTAGTTAGTGGCCAATAGTTGAGGACCAGACTTGAGTGTTTTACTCACAAATAGCCAAACATTTCCATAGTTTTGTCAAGGAACTGGAAAAACGTGCCCTAGGATTTGCAGATGTAGAGAAAAGACAATACATTGATCACAGTTAATAGTGCAATTACAGTAAATCTGTTTAACTTTGACAGCAGATTCCTGGCAACAAAGAACTCATATTTCAACCTCAGTATAGTTACTGCATAAAAATTAGACTGGACGTGTTCATATGCAGATTATGGTTTCATTGATTTATTATATTTTGCATTTTCTTGGATCAACAACAGCATTCTGCGCCCCGCTGAGGGATATCTGACTGCCTAACTTCACTTCTGTCCCAAAGCCAGAGTATCTTACTACCCCTGAGCCTCATTGTGGCACCATTGGGATGGGTATTGGCAAGCTTCAAGCCAGAGATGTACATGTGCCAGCTACTACCCATAATTCTTTTCCCTCAATTAGTGCCAGCTGCTCGCCCTTTAGTATTGACAGATAGTTGTATATTATCCCTGGCTGCATTCAATGCTTCAGAGATTTGCACTGTAATTTCAGCCACAAAGTTTAGCAAATCCTTGACACTGCGCTAACTTGTGGTGTTGCCACTTCCTAAAGACATTAGTCGATTACGTCACCGTTCTGGTTTTCAGTGTTGCTTGAGGTTTCCTGTGGGCAAACGAGCTGAATTAGGCTTCGCTCTACAACTAAGTAAAGAGCAGACTGGCAGAAGTCTCAAAGCATGTGATTTTCTTTTTTCAGCATTCATAAAAAGTCTTAATTATTTTCAATCGGCCTTATGTATTGAGAGGTGGTGGTACCTGAGCGAGGGATTTCATTGGGAAAACATTATTAAAGAAACATTAACTGTGATTTGACCAAACCTGGACAACAGGAATACGTAACGCCATATGGGGTTTTCACTCATCGCCTTTTCATATGGACACTGAATCCCACCACAGGGAAGAGTGCAATCTAAACCGCTCGTCTTATGATAATATTATAGTTAGGACCGTGAAAGGTCAAACCTCAGCACACGTCTTGTTTTACGCGGCCTCTGCTGAGAGAACCCACAGATGGCTTCAGCATTGCTGCAGGGCCAACACTCTGCAACGTGCCTCAGGCAAGGGGATAAATACCAGCGAGGACCCCTCACCCCTTCTCCCCACGGCTTTTTTGCCCCTCACTCCTTGTTTGAAACTTCTCACTCCTCAGTTGCTTGTGTCCAGAAATGCGTGCAGCAGCAGAATCTACTCAGTACATGCTGCCGTTGGCACCCGAGGGGCATATCAGAGTAATTGGCGAGGATTAACTGATGATCATCTTTTGACCATGTGACCGCACTGTTTAAAAGGTCAGCAACGGTTAATTTTGCCAGCTGTCTTTTAAGCCATCTGTTTCACTGTTTTTGACATTTTCTGCAACCACATTGAGGTATTTGCTAATGATTAACCCAACCTGAAGAACGATATGAAGGAAGAGTTTTGGTTGGCGCAAAATGTAGAATAACCAAACAGTGATACAAGAATACTCATTTCACATACAGCGTCATCTTAGATAGATATTTGTTCTCCGATTACTGCCCTAATGTGCAGAGCTACTGCTTCTCAAGTTGTAATCAGCAGCCCGGGGAACTGTACACCACTCACAACCCAGAGGTAACAGTGCACAGAGTCATCAAATCCAAAATACAACGATGTGTACTAAATTTAACCCCTTTACTGCTCTATTTTTGGAACAGCTCTGAGAAGTAGTCACGTAGAGTACCTTGCCCAGCAATGGGCGCAAGCAACACCTGTTTCTGTTTAGAAACGTGAAACTAGATGGAGAGAATTTCAATCAAATGAGAAAAGAATATAGTTTATAGATTAAAAACATACATCTTTAGGGTGTGTTCAAAAGTAATTTATAACCAGACCATACCTTTCATATTAGCTTTTATTTTTATATTGCCGAAAATGCCCACGAAGAGACTTGTCTCAACTGAGGTGCTTGTCGGATCGTCAGAAGACTCAGCGGATGCTATTGGCACAGCGCTGTGGAGATAGGTCTGGCTATGCAAAGACTATATCTCCACACAAGGTCTGAACATACGCACGCGTACACACACACACACACACACACACACACACACACACACACACACACACACACACACACACGTTTTTAACGTTCACAGACGTATCCAATTGTTTTTGTAACATTTTGAAACATCAACAAGTAAACTGTGATCATGTATTGCCCCTATGACAGCAGGCTTTCACCCTTTGTCCTAGTGCGGCTGTTCAGAACAGCCATAGACACACTTTGGCCTTCAGACATGGTCGGACAAATCTTTGAACGAACTACTTCATATCAAGCGTACTCTGGTCTTTAACCAATGCATCTCTGTTTAAAGCTACGTCTGTCTGATGCTTGAGTTGAGCCCCTTTAAATTGAATCATAGAGATCATCAACAGAACATACTTTATAAATGTGTTTGTATTCTTTTTAATGGCAATTTTGACTTGCACTTAAACCAGAACTGACACAGCTTTGCGAGCTGCTAATGCCACTATGCTAGCATGCTTACAATGGCAATGCTAATATTCTTATTTACCATGATCCCTATTGTGATTTATTAGCATGAGAACCCCTGGTGTTGCAGGTGTACATTAAGTGTTGGACCCGATGGCGATAGAGGTAAAGTTGCTGAACAAGATGTGTCGGTATCATACACCTTTGTTTGAGACAGCTTATTTTCTCTAATAATCCAAAATCCAGTGTAAGAATCCCATTGGCTTTTATGTAGAGGGAACCAGCGTGATGCTAACGTCCGGGGTTGGCCTACAAATATTCGTCATCTCTGTGTTAATCTATTACAACACAAATAGCCCGTTCAGCTTTTTTGCCAAATGATAGTCTTTGTAAACTGTGTGTAACTTTACCTAAAGACCCTTTTACAGTTTGTATACAATGATGACGTACGTTTGTGTGCGCACACAGTTTGGCAACGGACGTATGGTGCAGCGCAATAGCTTGGGAAGCTATGCAAGTGCATTAACCACCAAAGATTGTAAATACAACCAAAACAAATTGACTTTCCAGATCTGTGTGCTATTAGTGAGTGGGTGGAATACATTAGCAAGGGGCACAGTATTCCGTTATCTGTGGTCGTATACGGAACGTTAAACACCAAGACAACGAGTTTTGAGTTTTAAAATGGCGCTACAAACGCGAGCATTTTTTGTTCAGTCCAGTGGTATGATTAATAACTTGCAGCCATAGAAGCTGTCAGCGTTTCGGTTTATAAAATAATGTTGAATAATGACTCTCCCAAATGTGTCAGTGGTTGCTCGTGGCGATGGCAGCTGTTGAAAACACAAACGGAACATGAAGGTGTCGGAACATAAAAGCCTTCAATCAATTTCAGTTTCTATCTATGCCAATCATTACTACGTAAGTTACTACGAGCAATCAAGGACCCATTCAGCTGAGGATCACTAGTTCTAACTCATTAGTGAAACTGAAACACCTGTTGCTCTGAAACGGTGGTGATCCTCTCCGAATTACATTTTTAAAGCTTGTTAACTTGTCTGGATGGCTGGTGGAAAACGCCACTTCAGTTGCCAACATGTGCGCGCAGGGACGCAGGAAGAAGGGGTGCTGAGGGGGCTGCAGCATTCACTACTCGCAGGGGGCTGTGACTGCAAGACAAAAACGTTTACTCAGCAATTCTAAATCTATAATACTTTTTCTTCTCTCGGTCCTGCTCCTCTGTCTGTTTCATCTTGGATCTATAATATTCTCTAAACTATATTACATTAAAGTCATTTAGCAGACGCTTTTATCCAAAGCGACTTACAATTCAGATTCTATCACATTCATACACCGTAGGCACAGCTACGGGAGCACATTTTGGGTTAAGTCTCTTGCTCAAGGACACATTGACATGCGACTAGCGGAGCCGGGGATCAAATCGCCGATCCTCTGGTCGAAGGACGGCCCTGCTCTCCACTTAGCCACGGTATATATTATGAGTGTTAAATTCTATACTATATTGTAGCCGATATACTCTGAAGAATAGTGTCACTTTTGTAGCAACGTGTAGTCGCAGAAGAGAGAGAAAGAGGATCACAGAGACACACTGCTGCCTGAAGTATTCCTATAATATTTCAAATTTAAAGTTGTCCGTTTGTTAATTCATATAAAAATAGAACGCTGTATTTCTTCAACCATTAGCGCATGTGTAAAACATTCTAAAATGGGAGCAAAATGTTGTTGGTCATTCAAACTAATACAAAAAAAAAGTCATTTTATAGACTTTGTCTGAGCACCACCAATTGACTAACTTCCAGTGTCCCTGTCCTCATGCATATTGTTTGATGACGGTGGCCTAGATACCTTCAAACACGCATTTGGACTTAATAAAACCAATAACAAGATATGCCTAAAAAAAAACAGATCAAACGATCTGAATGTTTAGCATCGTATTTTCCAAAGATAGACTATTTTAAAGAGGAAATGTTCTACTACAAATATTATCACATAGTAAAGGAATATCATCAGAAGATTTGACTAACAACATTTTATAATGAATTATACTCAAATGTGTTTAAAATCAAACTTAAAAGTGCTAAATGCTAAATTCCGAGCATATCAATCGCGTCCACACGGCTCTCGCCGTGGTGATGGCTGAGTCGGTGACTTACAGCTAACAGTGTTAACCTGGGGGGGGGGGGACAGGAGGACAGACATGGCGCTTCTGCCATAACATCGTTGGTCAGGACGGCGTTGTCAACTGTAACTGCTGTATGAGCGTAGTGCAGAGTAGCGGCAGGAGCTAGCCAGTGGCACACACATTCACTAAAAGACATGCACGGCCAGCCTGGCTATGCAAAGAAAATTAACAAATGAATAAATGAATAGAGGACCTTTAATTTATGATGTGAAATCAGTGGTGTTATATCCCAGGGATGTAATAATTTAGGATCACAGGAAATCCTATAACCCATGGGCAGTTTGTTTTTCAAAGCATATGCTAAAAATGTCTGCCTCCTGGTAACTGGACTGGACTGGACAGTGTGAGCCTTCAAACAAAAACTATGAGCAAAAACAGGCTAAAATGCTACATAGACCAGAGATGGGGGATTATTGTCTGATTGTTCGTCACTGCAAGTGACCCCATCACGCTAGATGTAGACATTTGAATTATTGTTATCCTAATGACTGACGAGGCTTTTAAAACGTGTTTCAGAAACATAAAAAGACAAGAAAGAATCTTTAAATCAGACGCAAACAAAGAGGTTTTAATCCGTCACCAAAACCCAACACACATCAACACCAAACTTTCCCAGAAGTTAACCACACCATGGTTCATATAGGACCAACTATAAAATCTTTGCTGCATCTAAGTTTGTGTTTTTCAGCTGGTAATTGGTGGTGGTGCCGTGCTGTGACTGTGCACTTTTCTGCCAACCACAGAAGAGCCACTTAGTTCTTTTTATGGGCTTCAGGCACACACTAATGTGATGGGTGTTAAAAAGCCACAGGTTCTCAACTGTTGGAGAATTTACAGCCACACCACATTCAATTTCATGGGTCAAGGGCATCCACAGTGGGGCCATCAAGTCTACTGCTTTTATTTTTAATCACTTGTCAACGATTCCCACATTTACAGAAATTCACGGGGCAAATAGGTCGAGGCTGCTATGCTCCATGAAAATCTGCTTTCAAGGAATATCTGCTTCAGCTGCAAGCCTGTAGATCATGTGATGTTTTCAGGCTTTGAGAGAATCAAACCTAGAAATAAACACTGTTTATTTTTTAAATAAATATGCCATTAACATTCTGAAACCTTTTTGAAAGTTGGGTTTTCCTTCATATCAATAAATGTCAAGCCTATGCTCAGACAGTCTCCTGGATATATACACAGAGGCGTAATTCTTGAAAGTCTTGCTTGACGCGTGGACGTCACTCGACTGAGCTCCTTGTAAAATCAATTGTGCGCAGTAATCTGTAAAAATGTACCATAAATGTTATTACTGAGATGTCAAAACTTATCCCGGCCTCTTGACACATACCTGATACTACTCTACATCCGTCTGTGTTAAGAGCATAGGCATATTATCGAGAGACAGGAGGTTTCCATGACCTGCCCCCACCTTAGTCTCCTTGGAGGAACATCTATTCTTCATCACTGTCAACCCTCTGTCCCCAGAGATGCGATGCTTTGCTGCCTTGGACCTTGGATGGCTTTGGGCCACATTTTTTGCTCGTCACTTAACCCCTCCTCGCAAACAAACACTGACATTGAGGAATTTTGTAAACATATCTGGAGTGAACACCAAATTTGTCCTGTCTCCAAACGTCCAGTAGCTTTACAAAGTCATTAATCATATGATAGTTTCCCAGAGGTGACTGTCAGTCTCGAGGTAGGAATGGTGATTCCTCATCCCTAAGTGAAAAAGCAAGCGGAGTGCAGACGGAAAGGATAAATCACTCGAGAAGTGAAGACAGCTAGCATTCAGCAGCTGGCCATCTGGCCCTTATCGTGTCCCAGACTGGTTGATTTTATTGCTTTTCATTGCTTTCCGTGGACCCAAGAGGGATCTTCACAAACAACCTGTCAGTCTGGCTTGAGGTGATCATCCTCTGCTGGTTGGCTACATGATTACAATGTGCATCTTGAACATCATGCCTTCATAACATAAAGTGGCTTACCAGTGGCACGTTGTTTCAGTCAGATTGGACATTGGACTCCCAGTACTGTGTGCAATTCCAAAACAAAACATTAATTCAAATTTTCTCTAAGTTGCCACATAAAACTGTTTTTAACAAACTTGAACTTGATTGTACCTCCGCTTGTAACACATGGGGGAAAATCTGGTGTTGGTTCAAATGGTTGTTTCTCAAACTTTAATTCTGGATGATCGATATCTCTGAATAGTCTATAATGTAATGATGTTACAAGCCTGGTAGTGGGGGAAAAATGTAATTTTGGAGCAAAAAGGATTCTTGTTTTATTTTATATAAGTTCTACATAATATCTTTAAAACCTCAAACCCCCATTACAGAAACATGTCGGGTCACTGACCAGCCCATAATCAACGAGGGTGAAGATGAAAGATAATGATTGAAAGGAGTGGAAAAAAACATGATCAAATTGATATTGTTGAAGAATGCCCCATGTTATCCGTTAACCCTTAGAAACCCACACAGACGTGTTTTTTAAGGGGGATCTTTAGGGGGAAATAGCAGGTCAACAGTATATGTCACATACATCATCTAAAAGCTGGGAACCTGAAGATTAGTATGAGATGCAGATGCATCTCAGCAGTGTATGCCAAGTCTAGTGTATGTTCTAGTCATGAATCAGAAAGAAAAAATCATTAATTCATCAAAATAAATTGTGAAAGTGTACATGGTCTTAGAACATTATGATGGTCATTCTCATGCTCTATTGTGTCTCTTTAAGTGCCGCAGCAATTTCTGGGTTAAAACCATTTGTTACACAGATTTGGTGCTAAATTTAACAATATTTTACCACTCTAGAGTTGATTTTTAATTTTTTTTTAAATGATCAGAAATCCCTCCAAAATACCACATTAAGACAAAGACCTTTAGTTTGTGGTTATATAAAGATATATGAAGCTGTGATTATCCAAGAGGTCATAACAGGTCATTTTATAGAGTGATGTCTAGTTTTAAACAATGAAATGGCTACTATGAGGACTAACATCATCACACATGAATACAATTGGGCTCATTGGAGCCACAAGAGTCTCTGCTTTCCAGTCATACATATATCAACTAATTCCAAGACTGTTTAGTTTAGAAATATTGAAATACACCTAAAATAACACATTTATACTGCATAGAATAGGCCGCATGTTTTTTTTCTCACCCCAAAATTTATGGGATTATAATAGAATGGGCATGTCTGTAGAGGGGGAGACGTGTGTATAAAACCCATTTCATTCACATCTCCTTCGCCAGAATTTGTCACGTTATTTTTCCTGACACGCTACTATCACAGCCCGCTACAGCCGCTGAAAGACACTAATAGCTGCGATCCCGCGGGTTTCAGAGGATGCCATATATCACCATTTGAGAAGCTTAAGTTATTGAGTTTTGTTCTTGTTGGGGGGGGGTGCAATACAAGTATTTCAGTGCATTATTCCTTATAATTAGTTATAATTCATGATGTCATCCAACCTTGCAGACACATTTGCTTCAGTCTCTTGATCTGTCGTCAGTCTTGAACCGTGTTGTTGTCGAGGACGATCTCTGCCGCAGAGCGATCTGTCAGCAACACTTCTCCAGATGATTTGCACATCTGTTAAAGGCTCCAAATGTTTTGGGATGCACCTGGCAAGCCCCTTTTCTCTCCCAACCGGTTGTCCATGGCCCTGCACCACGGCCAGGTCAGGGTATCCCCTCCTTTATCCAGATGTGGGGGAAATCTGTAGGCCTATAGAGATGTTGCTCTTTAAAGCCAACTCATTATATCTATGATGGCTTCTATGGAATAATGGAAACATGGTGAGGAAAAGCTTTATTGTTTTAGTCTCTGAGCAGGTCATAGGTACAATGTTTATTAAAATATTTTTAAAATGGACTTTCAGGTCCACTGTAATGGATAACCGCATCCCAACAGACTCTCAACGGCTCAGTTGATAACTCCTGGAGAACAAGTACACTGCAGCAACTTTGTCCTTCACTTTTCTCCTCTCTTCACCCAGCTAAGTTTTCTATTCTGGTCCTTTGACCATGATCTCTAGAGTCAAGTTCAACTCCTCTCCATCCATACATCGCACATTCCTGGAAAGGCCTCGTAGTGAAAGCTCTCTGGAATAGCTGCAACCATCTGTTTGTGTCTTGACCTGCGCACATTGACCTTCTCTAGAGACCTATTAGACCGTCCTGAAATAAACTCTGGGCACCGCGTCTCTTGTGTTCTGCTTACTCACACAAATGTGTAGATTAACATGCGTTAGATAGCAAGGCCGGTCGGTGTGGTCCAAACTCAATGAGATAATACGGACTGCCATGAAACATTCTTGTTTGACAGAGGATGAATACTGGTGTCTTTAGTGATGCCCTGGCTTTTCATCTAGCACCACTATGAGTCTGACATATTATGTTTGCGGTCAAATGACTAGTCGACCGTTGGGTGGATTGCCGTGACGTTTGGGACAGATATCCATATTTCCCAGGGGATAAAGTCAAATTACTCTGTGATCGACTGAAGAAACATGTTGACAGTAAGTTTTGTGTATTCCCCTTTTTCTGGAAAGAGTTGTTTTGAATGTATATTTTTAAAGCTTTGAGCACCAGAATTCCAAAAAGATGCAAAAATAAAAACAAAACTGGGACCAGAATACTCAAACGGTAAATAGGAAAATATGATTTCTTTGACTTCAAATCAACTTTGTGTTCAAAAGGTGCCAAAGTTTTGTTTCTTAGTATTCAATAACCAAAGCCTGTTTTCATATTATTATCAAACCTTATTAAGCAGCTATATCACGCACCAACAGGAATCCTGTCCAATAACGGGGTCTCCAGCTGCCTTGGACTTCTCCTTTACCCCTCCAACATCCTTCTTCCCGTTCTCTCACTCTCACTTCCTCACCTGTCAGAGGTGGAATGTCGCTGGCGAATGCAGTCCTCCAGGGTCTGACTCTTGACAGATGTAGCGACGCTCAGTGAAAAAGTTTCCCAGCTCCCGTTCGCAAAGACGCTTGAAACAAGCAGACGGCAGCAATTAGTGCAGGACAGAACTGGATGAAATGATGCACCTGAGCATGATAAACAGGAATCAGAGCCGCTCTTACCGGCGCAAGCTGTTTACGGCTGTACCTTTTAGCTGAAGTGAAAAGTACGATGAGGCTCACCACGGTCATACTTGTTTGATTCTAGCTCTTCTAATTTCCAGCTATACCTTTCATGTTTACTATCTGAAGAGGCAGAAATGCCTCAAACTGGGGGTTGATACACAGCTGTACCATCTAAATGTGAAGACACAAAGATGTGTAAAGTTGAAACTTTGCAGCAGAAATCTATGAAAACCATTTCAACAGACATTTATACTGATACCACTTACTGCTTTTAAATCTAAAATGAAAGAAATAGAGGCAGGTTCCCAAAAATGTCAATGTCAGGTCTCCCTTGAAAAAGAGATTTTTAATCTCAATGGGACTCACCTGGTTAAATAAAGGTTAAATAAATAAAATGAAAATATACATGGGACCTGGGAGCAATGGTATTTTCATACTCATACATATTTTCTCAAGTCTCAAGACACGCTTTATTAGTAACAATGTGAAAATACAGAGTTGGAAACTGTTGAAGAGTATTAGATTCATAAAAATTGCATGCCCATGTCGAACTGCAGATGGAGATATCACAGTACTGCCCTGTGCTTTTGAATCAGCAATCATTTATAAAACTCAAATTTGAATTTGGTATTTTACATTAACTTATCTCTTGTTAAGTGTTGTTGAGTGTTCTCTTGTTTACAGATCTTTTCAGACATCCCCCACCCCCTCGCCACCAGCAAATAGAATCTAAAATCCTTCCCCCCAGGGAGAAGAAGTTCTGTGGATCCACTCTGCCCGTCTGCTCTCTGCTGCTGCTGCCGATCGTCATGGCAGCTTTCCAGCTCTCAGCAGGAAAGGAAGTGGCTCTCGGGGGCAGTGCTCAATTCGCCCTCTACTGGGCGGAAGTCAAGCCTCAATGAGGCCGTCAGTCGGATAGGTCATGCTGTCAGAGCGCACCAGAGTTCACATCCTCTCATTAGACAGCAAAACTTTCAACATCCCTTCATTGGAAGAAAAAAAAAAGAAAAAAGAAGCTAAGTCAGGGAAATTGGGCTGAATTACGCTCACAATAAAACAGGCTTATGGTGATGGGATTGTGCAAGTGTAGTCAGGTAGACTGTGTGCGTGTTGTCATTACTTTTCTCCATGCACACACACACACACACACACACACACACACACACACACACACCAATGCACCCAGTGCACGTACTCACACGTAATCAGTTTACACCATTTGTTGAAGGCATAAATATTCTCAGCTGCTGAAGTGTGAAATGGTGCTAATATGTTCAGGTTCAGGTCATGGTGGTGTTACTCATACTGAAACATCAAGCTCGGACATGATCTGAGTCAGCAGAATGACACTAAGTCATCTCTGAAGCCACCGATACTGTTTTATGGTTGCAGGGGATAATTTCATATTATGTTTGATTTGGGAAATTGAATGCAAGAAGACATTGTGTCCCCCACGTATTCCAGGAATTTACATGAATCTGAATCGCAACTAAATATAGCTTAAATGCAACAGTATAGAATCAGATTCATAGGAAATGAGCATACTTGCTTTGTGAAGTGCAGTTGGTAGGACATGCTGTCAGAATACAAAATCCTCAAAGAAACAAAACTCAACAAACAAGCTAGAAACTTTATTTGTTAAAACAAGTATATAGAGTTGCTGCAGTACATCTTGCTAGGTTGTGGTTTTATACATTTACCAACAGGTGGTTTAGAAAGGCAACTCCTCATGGAAACAATGGCATATGTATACAATACAAATTAGCAAACATATCAAAATCAGTTTTTACAACTTTTGTAGCAACCAATTCCTTCTATTGGTGTGCCATAGTGCAAACTGTTGTTTGTCGACAGAGTGATCTCAACATTCATACAATCTCGACAATCCATTTTCTCTGTCTTAAACACATTTTTTTTTTTTTTTCATTTGTAGGCTGCATTCACTGTGCCTTCAGTTCAAGTCCTTCTGTCCAGTCATGTGAATGTACAATCAGAATAATTCAAGTGTATCGGGCAGGGTCCAGGGTCAGGCTGTTTTGTTGGATAGTGAAGATTATGTCTGAGCAAGAGTGCTCCTCGGTCGGGTATGTTGCTGCATGTATGTGTGGTAGAGTACATGAAAACATGTCAGGACCTAAAGTGGTACTTCACCCTGATGGAAACAGTTTTGTGTCAATAGGATCTCAGGAGTGACCAACCACAACGGCATCACCTCTGTTTAGAATTGCGTTAGATTTTTCAAGATAATGATGCAGTTCAAATAATATGGGAGTGATTAAGGGTTTGCCGCGTGACCAGTTTTCATCTTTTTTAATCGACTTCTATGACCCTATGTGCACTAAAACACGTTCTGCCAGTGAGAAATATCACTCTTATGAGTCTCCAGTTGTGTTTTTCCAAGCCCTTGCAAAAAGTCCATGAGGATTCCTGGTTTCACTCTGACAACATAACTTGAAAAATGATTATCACAAACACATATCTTAGCAAAAAAGTGTAATAGCTTTTATGTTGGCTACAAGTGAAGTGGAGTGGAGTAGACGGCGTACGAGTATAATCTGTCGGCATGTGTGTATAAATGGACAGCACAGAACAGATACAGGGGGAAAAAACAGTTTTTGGATAACTTTGATCATTTCTGTCTACATTCCCTCCACGGTCCGGCATGTGTGTGAGTATGTGTATGTTTCTGCATCCATCTGACTTCAAGCCTCTATGGCTAAGATTTCACTGGAGGAAAGAAAAGTAAGAGCTATGCCGGGTTGTGATAGCGCTGCCCTGCGTGAAGGTCGGGCTGTTTGTGGCCTCTACTCTGGTTCTACTGCACCGTGTTCTGCAGGAAAGCATTGGAACTGGTGGACTGGTTGTGTTAAAAAGTTTGAAGTTGGAGGACGGATGAAGCCACAGCCCTTCCGGCCTCCCCTCTCCCTCTCGCCACGGTCTCCCCGTCCCAACTCAAGAGCATCCACAGCGGTCCACCACCATGGAAGGGATCTTGCCGTAGATGATCTGCTCTTTTCGGTTAAAGTAGAGCATGTTGATGGGCGACATCTTGGTGGGAGTGCAGCAGGGGCCGGCGCTCCCTCTGGGGTTGGCCTTGTTCACCAGGTGGGTGTGCGGATACTTCTGCAAGTGCATGTACTCACACTCCCCGGAGCAATAGTTGGCCTTGTAGCGCTTTGGAGCAATAATCCAGTCCCAGCCAAAGTCTTCAAAGTCCACAGTGAGCGGGTAACGGCAGCACCGGGACTCTAGAGAGTTCTCGTCACAGTCCAGGCCCGAGTCTCTCCTGGCACGCCTGGGGCCCTCTGAGATCTTCACCTCCATGAACGGTTGCTGCAACGACAAAGCGCGTGTGAATACTTTGAAAATAGCTAGTTTGCAAAAGGAGGCAGATGACAGCATTCTTCCTGCATCTTTTAATCTGGTGCCCTCGACCCTTTGGCAGCTGGTTCTCAAACATGGCCCGATAATATTATGAAACTTTGAGTTTTAAAGAAATTAAATCATCTGACGGTTGGTTAACCACAGCCGTCTAGGTATTCTAATTGCCTGAGAGCCCGTGCCAGTAGTTGAGCCGTACGATAAGTGTTTGTCATTGATAGCAGCAGTGTGTGTGTGTGTGTGTGTGTGTGTGCCGGCAATTACTCTGATTTGCACATTCATACAGGATACTTTAAGGAATGTGGGGCAGGTGACTTTTATGTAATCAAGCGATAAGATTTGAGGTTATTGTGGACTGGGCATTTGTCCCAATGCAGGTGTGCGCCTGCATGGAGTCTGTGTTGATTAACAGCTTTCAAAAGTCTTAAATCTTGATTCCCTCTTCCAGCAGTGAAATGCATGAATGTTTAACCACTCTGCAATGACTCTGCAAAGCCTCTCTGCACAGCCCAAAGTTAAAACCTCTGGAATGGCACAACAGAGAAACCAAAATGCACTGGACTTTTAGAAATTATTTTTGTTTCATGCAGGATGGTCCATTTATTGTAATAATAATCATCATATTGATTAGGACAGATAAAATGGGCTAATTAAGCTGCTGTAGCAGTAAACAGCTCTGCCCCCATGCCGCCAACACTATTCACTTTAACGGATGAGACAAACTGCTAGCGATCACTTGTATACAAAACGTTATCATGAGGTTTCAGTTAAATGTAAAATAGTGGTTCATCTCACCAGTCCGTCCTCTCCGGGCTCTGCGGAGGTCACGGCCAAGTCATTTCCCCTCGAATCGAAGGCGTTAATCTCGATGCCCCAGTTGGTCTCCGGCTGCTGCAGCCACACAGCCAACACTTGTTTGACGTCTATACTTTGCCACGAGCTGACCCCGGCATTCACGTCGATCTTCAGGGAGCGGATGCGTATGTGCCTGCTCCCGTCTGTGACCGGCATCAGGCGGGATATTTGCAGGAACACTGTGGTCGCCTCGTCCGACGGGCGCAGATTCACCCAGAGCTGAGCCCGGACTATGCGATTGGGTTGAAACTTTTGAGTAAAAGAGAAAAAGCAGCACGTTGGTTCCCCGTCCGCTTGGACGATGGACTCGGCTGGAGAGACACAAGAGAGAGAGAGAAAGGGGCTAATGACCATGTGCAGTTGAAATTCACATAAAGAAATAAACTGGTGTAAAGAAACATCTCTGACACGCCGTTTGAACTCTGAAAGTGGGCTAATAAAGTTTAGAAAAGCCTACAGTCTGTGCGCGTAATGACCGCGCACGCTGTCTTCCAAACTCCCTTGACCTATTTTTTTTGCAGTTTTAAATATTGGTACTGCTGGTATATCCACATGTCCTATATAAAAACCTGGTAAAGTTACGTGTTGTCAAAATAAATACTATTGATAGCGTATTTCGTGCGCTCTGTCCCGTGCGTAAAAAAAAAACTATTTTGGAGACGTCTGACCACGTCCTTGTCATAATGCGAAAAACAAAGCAAAATAAAGACTTACGTGCAGTGGCCATCATCATTATTGTCTCCGTGATGGCATGCTCATCGTCCGCCTCCATAACCACATCCTTGTTGTCATCTCCCAGCACGTCGTACTGGTCGAGAAGCTGCTGCAGCGGCGGCGCTTTGGGCAGGAGCTGCTTCACAATATCTCGGCTGATATTGGGAGCTTCTTTCATCCGCAGTTTGCTCAAAATCTGAGATTTGATCGCGTTTAATCGCATGGTTTTAATCTGCTGCCGGACCTCGCAGGTAGCGCACTGCTCCGTGTCCTCTGGGCTGGTGACGGAGGGCTGCTGGTGCGTCTCTTGGTCGCTCAAAACTACTGGACCCAAAGCAATCAGCAAGCTAAGATACAGCACAGTCTGAGACAGATGCATTGTCTCTAAGGTGTGCAGTTTGGTTTAAAAAGATCCCTTGGTTTGTGCTGGACCTATTGCGCGACTGGACTGGGTTTGGATTAATGTCGCACTCTGATAGGCATCATACTTTATTAGCGCACACCTTTTTATACTCCAACTTTAGCCTCTTTTGTGTCGTCAAAATCTATGATTGGCTGGACAGGCAACAATGAGTTTTAACCGACTGACATGACAACTTTTTTTCCCTTGTCAAACCATAAAGGGATGGAGACTGTGGGCATGTGCTTAACGTGTCCACGGATGGATAAATTCACTTTTCTTACAGTGATTGCGCAAAGGGCTTCTGAATTGGCTTATACAGGGTTTATGCAGGTTCTTTGGCATTCAGTTGTTTGCACTCTTCATTTCACGTGATCTTGCACTTGTACTGTGTATCCCTGTGACATGTCCAGACTGTGCATTATGTGATTAATGTTTTTTATGATGAATGTTTGTAATCCTGGCTGCAGCCAAATTATCCCTGGTGGTATAATACAGTTTGAGTTATCTTGAAGAGCTAAGCAAATAAAAACAAAACAACAGAATAGCCTATATGCAGCATATTATGAAAGAAAGCAAGAAAGGCGGATTCGTGAGTTTGTGCTTTAATACGCTTGTTTAAAAATATTGCACTTTAAATCTAGTATTTTTGTCAGATTTGCACGTTTAACCTCGAATTGTCTTTGATGGCAGGCACATGGTGGAGACTGGTTGTCGAAATACATTTAATCCTTGAGTAAAAATAGGAGTTACAATTTTAGCCAGGTCAAGTCAAGTCATTCTCGAGGTGAGAGAATCTGATTATCGGCACGTGTAAAATTAAAAATAGGCTACATCGTTCCCCGCACTGGGATAAATTCAAAAAATTCAAAAAACAGCAAAACTAGAGAAAACCGTCAGTCCAGGACTTGTCCAAATCCTTGTTGGTGAACCCTGGTTGCAGCACATGAGAGGACAGCGCCATCGTGTGGCAAGTTCGTGTCGTTCAGATCAGAAAGGCCATAAATCAATCTGATGATTTGAAATGTAAAATCCATTCAGGAAAAGCGACTTCCCAGTCAGCTGTAGAAACATTAGTGACCCTGTCTCTGAACCAGACAAGTTGTATCATTTTACAGAGCCCTGGTGCTTTCAGAGTCCACTCAGCTCTCTCAAGTGTGTGACATATGTGGTAGCATGAAAAAAGAATGCAGCATTGATCATGTTGGCCGCCAAAGACCACATCCAGAAACTGATACACCTCTAATTATTCTTCTTATTAAATCTGAATTCATAAAGTCAAAATTCACCCAATGAAATGGACATTAATTGCATTGTTCTTAAGGAATAAGAGCATGCGCTAAATGAATAAGGCAACATAGACAGATATCTTGCAAGTAAAAAACTGTTTCACAAGTTAGCATCGAAAGATATACCCCAAAGTAGCTTTAGCCTACTAGTTGCTTTGAAAATTGGGATTCTATATAGATTATAAACATGAGCTTGTATAATAATGATTTGGTATAGAATAAACTACCCAACTATAAGAAGTAGTCAAAATAGCTCTACCTCTTCCACCAGCTTCAGATACAATAAAGTCAAAAAATAACTCTTTGAATTAACTTAATTAAATCCTGGAAAGTATTTCCACATGGTTAAATGACTTTCTTTTATAATTTAGTAATTATGTTGGGCCAACTTAATGTACTTGAGTTTGGTCAACTTCATTTGTCAGGGTTGATCCAGCTATTTTACTAGGGTTGTATCCAACATAATTTACTATGCTTGGGTCAACTTAATACATTTTGGTTGATGCATCTTATTTACTAAAGATAAGTCTAACTTAATTTTACAGTACTGAAATTACATTAGTAAATTAAATTAAATTGATCAAACCAAAGTAAATTATGTTGGCCCTACAGAATTGCTTAAGGCCGAAAGAAAGCCATTTCTTCCCATGGAAATACTTTCAATGATTAAATTAAATTAATTCTAAGAATAACTTTTGAGTTCTAAACATTTAAAACGCTTACAGTGAGTAATAATAAAATCCACTAATATAGGCTAATGTAGCCTATAACAATAGTGACTTTTACTGAGGTAAAGAATCTGTTATTTTTCCACCACTGACGCAAACACACTGAAGATCATTGTTTGGCACTGAGGTTTTTTATTTCGATGCAGCGTTTCCGTGTCACCGCCAGATGGCAGTGTCGTACCAGCCGCGGCGGTGCAGAGCCGCTGTCGGTGTGCAGCGCCTGGACTCGCTCTCCTCCTGAGCGCCGCTGCAGCTCGGTAGTTGCCGTGCAGCGTCGTTGCACTTAAACTCAGTCCAGACATTTGCTTTCCTCTCTGCTGAGGAGCGCCACTCGGCGTTGGACCGGCGTGTAGGCAACAGGGAAACCTCTGCCGTCTGGTCCACCAGTTTGGGATTTTTACCCCACCTTTAAAGATTATATTGAAATCTGATTCGGAGCACAAACCAGTGAGCAGCAGCAACTTCGTAGATGTATATATTGTTTGTTTTCTTTACACATTGCACACAATCAATAACGTTTTAAATTGAAATCGCTCGGATGCTGTTTGCGGAGCTGAGGAGTGGGCAGAAGAACCAGCGCGACAACAGATGATTCCCGGATTATTGTTTATTTGAACGATTTTGGGTTATTTCTTCCATCGCCGGATTATGTTTTTGTTGGAATGGAGGAAACCCTGACGCATTTGCCACACTGTTAAAAGTATGTACAGCTTTACGGGATCTCAGCACATCCTGTTGTCATTTTTGTGATCTCATGTTTGCGGAGGTATTTTCATTCATTAAGTTATCAGGTTTATTCCAAATCCCATGTGTCTGTCTGACAGCTAATTGACGCTCTCACATTTTGGTGTGCACATTAACATTAAGACGCACTTACCGCTATTTAATCTCATTAACATAATACCAGATCTGGAGGATTTAGTGACAGTTCAAATTCCTCTGTGGTTGTGTGCGCCTCCAAATGTTGTTTTACTCACAGGGAGACTCTCTGCTCTGCATAAATCATTCATGGCCTGGTGTTGTGTAGACTACAGCATGCAGCTTTCTGAATGAAGCACATGTTTGCTGTGCACCAAGGCCCATAGTCCTGGAAAAGGAGCTGTCACTGTGAATCAGGCTGCGAGGCTGATTTAGTGGAACAGATGGGAGACATAGGCTTACAACAAAACAGCATCAGTTCACTCAAGCTAGGGACAGGCGTGCCTGTGTCATGCAACACAAAATAGGCCGAGGGATTGAGTCATAAAACACTCCGAAGGTAGTGTAGGGGGGGGAGGTGAATGTGTAACGCAGCTGATGTGCAGAGGGGCAGAGTATGTTTCTGGAATGACTGTGCTGAGGTGAGCCGCCAGAGGCCTTGACCTCGAGCCGGCCGCTGGAGCCCTGGGTCACATAGTTGCCACAGCCACTGTGAAAATCCTTTCCTCGTTGCCGCCATCTGGCACTCGTAGGCTGCCTCTGATGGAAATCAAATCACTAAAAACCGCTTTGTCTCTTTTTCTGCAGTTGAGGAAGCGATGGGTTCTGGCCAGCAAGGGAGCAAGACCGACTGTTTCAACGCCACCAGACCCACACGGGGATGGGCCTCCTAGCCGGTTGCGCCCCAGCGCCCTCTGAATTTACCACACACGTTGGCACTCAGACATGGATGAGAGGGGGAGCGGATGACAGGAGCTGAAAAGCCGACCACAGCAGAGAGAAGTCGAGGGGAAGCACAGGGTTGCTTCTGGGATGTACCGACTGACAACATTGATGTGCGAGTTCGGAATCTAACCAAAGACTCTCGCACACCTCCCAGCCTAAAGTAAATCAATGCGACATCCTCCAGAGTATGGGGTGTGTCAAATCCAAGAGGAGCGACTCCGCTGCCCAGAATGCAAACTCCACAGAGAAGGTGGAGCGCAAGGGCGAGAAAGCCTACTTGGTTCACTCAGAGATGGGCTCGCCGGAAAGCTCCCTTAAGGCCAACCCGGTGCTGCTGGAGTACGCCCAGAGGCTCTCCGAGGAGATCGTGGCCCGGGCCGTGCAGCAGTGGGTGGAGGTAGACCACCGTTACAGCGACATCCCCTACATTGAATGTGACGTGCCATGACGTCACGAGAAGGGATGCCGCAGTGGAAAGGCCGAGACTGCCTTGAAATCGATACCTGTGGTTGTACGTGGGATTAAACAAGGCCACTGGTCTCAAGCACCTTCGTTCAGAATGAATCCTTCAAGAATCTACCTGCTGTGTGCAGGAATATGAATGAGCTGTCAGTTATTTCGATTTGACCTACTTTTGGTTTGGATTATACTGGGATTGAACCTAAAAACCCCTTCTCCAAAGCACCCTGATCCTGTCCACATTCCTGTGATTATCTGGATGAAAGCTGGAGCCTGCAGTGTCTTCAGTTGGATAGCTCATCTGTCTCTGACCTTATTTGTCCCCTCAACCAGTAGGTCTTGGCCCTCTGTGGCTGGACCCATAACGCAAAGCAAGAAATGCTATCCGATATTACCTGGAATTCTAATGGTCCCCCTTGCCAGTGAAAGTCTACCCCAGTCATTGATGCTGCCCCAGGGCCAAGATTCAGTCCTCTTACAGAGGGAGTTATTAATAGATCCCTTCATTTGGTCAAGACTCTCACTTGAAAACCTTCACTGCGACTATCAGGTCAGAAAACACACCGAGCTGTCCGGCTCCTTCTGCTCTGACAAAGAGCTCTGCGGGCTGAAGTTCTCCTTTTAATGGCCTCCCTGGAGACCCTGTGGCTGATCTGCAAAGAGGAGCGTCTTCCTCCACTCTGCTTCTCCCACACTGCCATTAGGTAGCCTCGACCGCAGCCCTCCATCCAAGCAGGCAGGGTCCTCACGATGAATCGCCAGGAAATCATGTGCACGAATGGTGTATTTCACTCCAGGATACTCAAGTGTACACAAGTCACAACGTGGGAACTTTTTACATTAGGACCCAGATTACTGGGGACCTGCTGGCCTCTCAGCCGCAAAAACAAAAAAACAGGGCCCGAGAGAGGATTGACACACTTCAAAGAGGATTTGGCTTGTCAACAGAACTGGAGTTAAAGAAAAACTAAAAACAAAAACATGATTTATGTAAAAATGTTGTAGGCCTATTTTGTCAACTTTGTGTTATTGTGCAACACCTAACCGAGAACTACTGCCATGTGCCCTATTGAGGACAAAAGCACAAATATGCAAACCTTGAAGCCCAATCTATATATACAACTTGTTAAAATAGGGTGGTGCTGCGCCATAATGGAGGGCAAACGATACTAACCAGGGGACGGAGTAGATATATTTGGAATACAGATTCACAACCGCCAAAGTCCTTAATGAATGTTACTCTGAGCCCAACAATGTTTTGTAATATATGATTTATATCAGAAGGTACATTACACAGGTCTGGTCTTTGGTCCCTGGACTGAGATGTAGTGTAGCTGCAGATTTGTGCACAGGTACTCATAATGATGTCATAGGGATTTGCCCAAAATTCAAGTTACATTGCTGGCTATAGGCTCTACTGAAAAGCATTGGTGACAACACTTAAGCTGTCATATAACTATCTGCAGTGACAACAGCTTTGAATGGTGTTGTAGATATTATCGTAATAGTAGGAACCAGCAACCGTAAGAATACTTCAACACAAGCCATAAGCCAACAGTGGCAGGGTATCTTTCTCTCCACTTGCCTTCTCCCCAGGTCTTCTCTTACAACACCGACAGTGTTTCAGTATTGATAGAAAACTAACCACTACCAATACAATACAGTTGATGTGTAAGTGACATTGCATTGGGAAGTCTAACCAATACAGGGGCCAGTTGCATAAACTTAGTCTAAGTCTAGTCTTGGCCTTAGACTTGTCTTCGATGGCAACAGTCGGTTAGAAAATCAGTTGGCTATTTCAACATTTTTTCCATAACTTTTAGTTAAATATTTCAACTGTTTATCTATTACTTTTAGCACATTTTTAGCTAATTATTTCAACTGTTTGTTCAGAACTTTTTGGGATTGTTGCACCATATTCCTGAATTGTTTCTGAACATCTTAAACGACCGTTAGATTTATTTTCTCCGCTGTTGCATCCACTGTTTTTTCTCTTCTGTGAAGTCTTATTTCACCCATAATGCCGTGTGCGACAGGCCTACTTTAGTCACTCACAGCCAAGCTTCATGCAACAGGTAACTTTTAGAGTCTATAGCAAGTCTGACTTAAAGTTATATTTAAGACTAAGACTAGGTCTAGTTTTATGCAACTGGTCCCTGCTGTTTCAGTGCTGTCTGACACTCTGCTGTATTTCTTAGGCAATACATCACAGATGGTGCCATAATGTTGATGTCAGACATTACTGTGCATTTTGAGTGTGACGTCATCACTGAGAAAAGAATCATTTTTACAAATTGTGGTATCACCTTTGTTTACAAATTCATAAGAGATTCGTCGTTGTAGCTCTGGCATAGATCGGGTCTTGTGGTTCGTCTAAAAGAAAAGCAGTGAATTGGATTTTCCTTCTTTTGACAGCCATGAAGGAACTGTACCTGCACCAGAAAGAGTTAAAAATCGGATCCAGTGAGAACGCCCGTCTTCATTCAAACATCTGCCAAATGCCACCTTTTGAAAACCGGGATTTGTCGTTTTTAAAGGTCACCCAATTTAAATTATTTACTGCCAGCAGGTGTTTCGATAGACGGCTGCTAAATCGTCCGCCAACACTTTTTTTGAAGGATTTACTCATCACGAGAAGGATAAAATCCCTCAGGCTGTTGCGCCCTTTAGTACAGATTCAATTAGGGCTGCTACTAACGATTGTTTTCATTATCAATTGATCTGTTAATTTAATTCTTCATTACCTTTTTTAGTCTTTAAAATGTCAGAAAATACTGAAAAATGTGTGTTGAAATTTCCCACAGCCCAAAGTGATCCACTGTATTTGTTTTACTTGTTACTTGTTTTATCCAACCAACTGTCCAAAACCCAAAGATGTCCAGTTTACTATCATATATGACAAAGACAAGTAGGGCTGTCCTAAACCAACCAACTTCTTACAACAACCATTAATTTTGTCGACTAAAGGACATTTTGATTTAATCGACAGCTCTGTAAAACAGAGTTTCTCCACAAAGAATCACAACTCCTGTACAGCAGTCAAAGTGACCCGTAGATGAAAACAGCAGCCAGAGAGCGGTGGAGCTGAAGCAAAACAAGAGGCGCTGACTTGACTATAAAGTGAAACACAAGTAGCCAGATGAGCAGTGACAGAACCCATGTGACCTGACTCGCCAGAAAAGCTAGAATTGGCCTCCGGGAAGCAGCTTCGTAAGACGATACAATGTCGGCCTGTGGATATATCATGAAGAATAACATAACATGAGTGACGTTTTGCATATTCCTGTAGTCTAACATTCACTGAACTAGCAAACTGTACATCCAGTATGTGTAAAAACTGATGCCAATAAATCTGATTTATGCCTTGTATCAGTTTTGAAATATTTCATTGTTATTTTCTAAACCATGACTTTAGAACAACCTCACACAGGTGCCTTTATTAACCAGCCTCAACAGTATGTATTTAAAACACCTGTCAAACGAGAGAGGCGCGTATCCTGCATCCTGTATGAGAGTGAACACAGAGCGGGTTAAATGTTCAGCTGCATGAAGAACAAACAAAAGGATTTACAAGTGACTGCTGGCCAGCGCTCGTTTGTAAAGCAAACGGTGGCCTAAAAGCATGAGGACTTTATCCGTGTAACAGAAATACTCTGTTTATTGTCTACAGTATGCGGAGGTCATCCTGTCTGCTTACTGAGAGAGCCTCAGCATGCGGCAGTGCTGCTGGTGCTCGGTGAATAGAACAGAGTCAGACGGTGAAGGTGAAGCAGGTAGACAAACAGACATGAGGTAAAAGGTGTTCCAAATCATTCAAAAACTGTTCTGAAACCTGCTCCACGTGTTATTCATGAGCCTGTAGAACAACCGTCATTCACTTGTAACAGACCGTGGTCTCTAATGAACTTTTTTGGACAGTTATGCCAGTCACATAAACTATGCACTGAAGGTCAAACGGACCAGGTTATAACCCAACACTAAAACTAAAATAAATGTTTAATCTCCAGACTTCATACCTGAGCGGCAGCTTTGCGCTCACACGCTGATAACGAACTGTCGCTGTGTCACAAGAGCACTTTACAAGCAGGTCATAAAAAGATTCACGAACCTCAATAAACGTGGTTCTTTGAAGCACAAGCCGTTTCTTCACTCACCAGGACCACACATCCTTTTCTGTTAGGCTAGCAGCTCTCTTTATTGCCCTCCGTTCCAGCATTGAGGCCCAATCTGGCTGGCTGGCTCATAAATAATGCAACGACTGAGAACAAATGTTGAGCGAGGCGCTTTGATACCAACTGAAATACGGCGACGTGTCCATCAGACAAAGGTAATTACAAAAAACACACTCCATGACACACAGACACATTTGATCTCTAAAATGCAATGTAACAATAATTGCATTGAGAACAAATATTGATATACTTCTAAATCTGCCACTTGTCTAGAGAGAGTTGTTTGCATATGTCAGAGAAAACCTGTTTTATTTATGTTACATCTGAAAGAGTACAGAGATTAGTGAAAAGGAAAATAATGGAAAAAGAGAAGAAGAAAAGAAACTACAGAAATAGAGCCAATAGATTATCCGCAGTAGAAGAAGGGACCACACTGCAGGAGTACAGATGATACCGATCCATGTCACATCAACAAACACCCACAGGAAATGTAATAAAGCACTCAGTGGTGAGATCATGTCCTCGTGTAAATGCTGCTGTGCGGCAGAGTCCTTGCACTTGCAGCAGAAGGGAGAGTTACTGCTCTACAACTTATGTAAAGAAAAAACACTCCACTTCCACTGCAGAGCCAGCTTACACTAAACATGTTTCATGTGTGAAACACAGAGCATCTGTTAGCTATCTCTTCTGCAGAGGAGCAGCCTGGATTTTCTTCACAGTTTTAAACAGTATGGAGACAACCTATTGAGTATGTGACCTATGCATGTGCTCGTCATAAAATAACAGACTTTTCTTCATCCTCGGCAATACAGTCCCTCTCACATGACTCATGATCACATGAGGGATGTGGGGGAGGCTTAGCAGTGGGAGTCTGAAGGCGGGAAGCATCAGAACGTCAGGTCTTTCTCTCCCAGCGAGGAGAAGCACTGGTCCACGGCCTGCTCAGACACCTCCTCCAGCGTCGGAGGGTTCCACTTGGGACTCTGGTCCTTGTCAACCAGCACTGGAAACATGCACAAATCATGACATAGAAGGGGGAATCTGATGATGTGACCGAGATGCTGTCAAGCAATAAAAACTAGTATTTATTTGATCCTTTAAAAACATTTACAATCAACATTTTTCATTGTGGTTTAAGTCTTCATACCTCTCTGCATTCATATAAACTATGCTACACCACTCAAATTCATATCCACAATATTTTGTTGTACCCATGCACTGCAGTGACTTACCGGCTCGTACGCCCTCATAGAAGTCGCAGCCCCTCTGCAAAACAACGGAAACAATCCCATGAGGTACAATCCTCTTAGGTTTCACTCTACGTCATAGCTAAACTAAAACAGCTGTCTCAGATGATTAAGATGAAGTAATACTGACATTTTAACTTTGAAGATACATGCACGTTAATATGTGAAAGAATACAATGGGCTCCTCAACGTGCAGAGTAATTCACCAATCCTTCAATTCCTACCCAATTAGGATTACTACAAGAGTGAAAAGCATGAGAATGAAGCTGATGCGTGACGATAACTTCTCGGTTTTTACCATGCAGGCCTGGCTCAGCCGGTACTCCATCACCAACACGTCCTGCAGGCTCAGAGTCGCACCCGCCTCCAGCTGCTTATGGGTGATTTTGAGGGACGTGGGAGACATCCTGGACAGTATCTGGAAGAGGAGACACAGGGAACTTTTCTGTGTACTTCAAACTAAAAGATAGTGATGCACTGCTTATTGTGCTTTTAGATTTAAAAAAATAATATACACACACACACACACACACACACACATACATATATATATACATATACATATATATATACATATACATATATATATACATATACATATATA